GAAAGGAAGAGGCTAGCCAGTTACCAAAGACCTTAGTGAGCGAGAGTGTATTGGGCCCGGGGACTAAGCAAGCAGCGAAGGTATGTTTCGTCCCCATATCATGAGGCAGAGAGTTCCGAAGGTGCCCCTTCCTCCTATTTCCACCCCCCCGGAAAAAAACAACCCACGCCCTTCGTATCATTCCCGCGCCCCACCCCGTCCCTCAATGGCGTACATACGTCAGTCTTTTCAAGCCTCCCCTCAACGTACCGCTTTTGCCGACGCCCCCGGCGCCCAACATCACCAGCTTGTACTCCCGGGGCTGCAACGGAGGCGGCGGCGGCGCCCCCCCGACTCCGCCAGTCGGCCCCCGCGGCCCAGTCGGGTCCATGGTACGGACAGCCGCCCGAGGACGGCTCCCCTCAGACGCCCTCTCCGGTGGACAAGAGCGGCGGCAGCAGAGGCATCCCCCGCCCTCGCCGCCGCCGCCGCTTCCTCACCTTCCCGCCCACCTCGGAACAAAATGGCGCCGACTCGGCTGAATTCCAACCGCCGCCTCAGAGGGAATGGGAGGGGCCGTTCGTGGCCACGCCCCCTACGCGTCGCAAGGGGCGGGGCATCGCCTCTTTCGTCGCCTCCCTTCCTCCCGGAGTGGGAGGGGGGTGCCCAAAGAGGGTGGAACGTCATCAAAGCCTCGATTATTTCCGGCTCGCAATTGCATTCTTCTTTTGCGAATAAATCCATAAGCAAAACCCGTGCCCATAGCTGTAGGTTTTTGTTGTTGATTTTTGTAAACAGCCTCCTTTTCTTTATTTTAGCCTTCCTGAACCTGTAGGTCCAGCCTTACCCCAACCTGGGGCCCTCCAGATGTTGTTGGACTCCAGTTCCCCTCATTCGTGGCTTTTGCCTGATGGAGTCCAACAACATCAATTTTATCCCCCCGCCCCCATTTTGGAAATATCGTTGGGACTCCAGCTCCACTCACCCCCAGCAAGCACGGCCAACAGTCAAGGATTGTTGGGAGCTGTAGTTCAACATACATTAGGCGAGCACAAAGGTTGAGGGAGATCACATTTGTTTGATCATTTCTCCAGATCAATTTATATACCCCAAAGAAACCCAGGGGACGCGTTTTGTTTGATTGTTATTTTTAAAAAGTGAATCGGCTAGAACAGCCTTTCTCAACCTTGGCTCCCCAGATGTTAAACTACAACTCCCAACATTCCTGGCCACTGACTCTTCTGGCTTGTGGTGATGGGAGTTGTAGTCCAACACCTCCAACATCTGGGGGGGACGACGACCCAGTATTCAAGGGCACCTTTTCCCCATTCCTGCTTGAAGAGGAACAGATTTGCAGCACGACATATTTTGTTATGTGCAAATGACTTTAGATACCTATCAGGTCCATAAAGTACTATATAGATTCAACACAAAAAACAGTGACAATTTGTTGTTGACAAAGCACAGCTGGACATATAAAGGGCCCCATTACCTTCAGTAGCTTAGGGCCTCATCAAACCTAAATCCAGCCCTGGGCTAGGGCTCGGAAGAGACCAGGGTTCAAATCCCCACTCAGCTACAAAGTTCTCTGTTCAGCCTCACCTACCTCACAGGGTTGTTGTGAGGACAACCAGTGGCGTAGCGTGGGGGGTGCCAGGGGTGCCGACCGCACCGGGCGCAACATCTGGGGGGGGCGCGAGTCCAGAGGGAAGGGACAAGTTCCTTCCTCCGCCGGGCTCCCCGCCGCCACCGCCAGCCTTGCGCCCTAGCGCGCGCGCCCCCCGCCGTCGCTGTGGCTGCGCTCCGCTCACTGCTCGCAGGAGGAGCAGCCGCTGCAGCAGCGCCGACGCCGCCACCGACGCCTGGCCGGGCACGGGCAGCCTCTGCACCCTGCCGCCGCCGCCATCCCCTTGGCCGAGCCACAGGCGGCGGCTGCTTCTGCCTCCATCCTCCTCCGGGCAAGCAGCGTTGTTTGCGCGGCAGCGCCAGCGGCAACTCGCAGGTTAGGGGTTGGGGGGCGCAAATTACTTGCGTTGCCCCGGGTGCTGACAACTCACGCTACGCCGCTGAGGACAACGGGTAGGTGGGTGGGAGAACCAGTTGCAGAACTTTGAGCTCCTTGGAGGAAAAGTGGGATATAAACACAATACTAAATGGAGAGGATATGTGAAATCCTGAATGTGTCAATTCAGAGGGAAGTCTGTCTATTGAGCTCAATTGAACTAAAGAGGCAACCATGCACAGGATTGCTTACATAAAGCCTTTCAGCAACAAAAACATTCCCAAAGCGGTGAGCACAGCAGAAGACAATGGAAAACATCCTAATTAGACAAGAAGTCATTCCACATCCATAGATAATGAATCACGATCAGTGAGCGATGTCGATTGGATCCCGGAAGTTTCGGCTGTGCGTGACTCTATGCGCTGGATAGAGCTCTGGCCGGGAGAGCTGTGCGAACTTAGTACTCGGCGTTCCTTCTGCGCAGGCGCAGCAGCTGCTGAAAATCCAGCTGGCCGGTCAAGACACAGCATTGCAAAGGGGAGGATTTTTGTCTCTGCGGATTTGCATTCTTAGGTTGTCCGCATGCCTGTATTACCAACGCGTCCTTCCTGATGCATACGCAAGATATGCAAAACCTCCCTGAGGAACAAAAGCTAAGCTAGCCTTTAGGGCTTGCTTCCGGGTAGACATTTATAAGGTTGCTCTGCGTGTCTGCAAACCTCTCATATTTACTTGGAATTAAACGGCCTTGGATTTACAGACAGGATGCTGTTGCCACAGCGGTAAAAAGAACCACGACAAAGTTCTAAACAGAGAAACTAGATTGAAGCCATTTGACAGTACTTTGGTGTCATGTTCCCCCTGCCTGGCCTAGGAAAAAGCAATGAGACTGTAACTGCGTTTTATGCCCCCAGTGCAATAAACTACTATTTGAATGAGCGAGGGAGTGTTCATAACGGCAAGGTATAAAGCAACACACAATTATCACTGATGGGAAATTGTACGGGGTGGTGGAACAAACCCTTCCCCCACCCCCCAAGATGACGTGTTTCATGGAGTCCTTCACTCAAGGAGAAAGGCCTATCCTTTTTGCACTATAAGGTAAAGGTAAAGGGACCCCTGACCATTAGGTCCAGTCGTGGCCGACTCTAGGGTTGTGGCGCTCATCTCGCTTTATTGGCCGAGGGAGCCGGCGTACAGCTTCCGGGTCATATGGCCAGCATGACTAAGCCGCTTCTGGCGAACCAGAGCAGTGCACGGAAACGCTGTTTACCTTCCTGCCAGAGCAGTACCTATTTATCTACTTGCACTCTGACGTGCTTTCGAACTGCTAGGTTGGGAGGAGCTGGGACCGAGCAACGGGAACTTACCCCATCATGGGGATTCGAACCGCCAACCCAGGCAGTGGGTCAAGAATGATGGGCAGTTGGGACAGCTAGATCCCCATCTGTGATTGAAGGTCTTCATAACAGGGACTTCTGCATTTTCTGCCAAATCACCTCTCTTCAATCATTTGAAAGGGTTTGCATAAAAAGCATTAGCCCAATTGCCAGCAGGTCAGTCTATTATGAGGGCCAAAGCTGAAAAGCGTTACAAAACAATGCATGTAAGAGCCCAGGTGGATCAGGCCAATGGCCCGTCTAGACCAGGGGTAGGCAACCTAAGGCCCGTGGGCCAGATGCGGCCCAATTGCCTTCTAAATCCGTCCCACGGATGGTCTGGGAATCAGCGTGTTTTTACATGAGTAGAATGTGTGCTTTTATTTAAAATGCATCTCTGGGTTATTTGTGGGGCATAGGAATTCGTTCATTCCCCCCCCCCCAAAAAAAATACAGTCCAGCCCACCACATGGTCTGAGGGACGGTGGACTGGCCCCCGGCTGAAAAAGGTTGCTGACCCCTGATCTAGACCAACATCCTGTGCTCTCAAGTGGCCAACAAGATGCCTAAATGCGAAGCCCCCCAAGCAGGGCTGTCCCTACCTGCGAGTCCCATCACCTGGTATTAAGAGACATACTCCCTCCAACAGCGGAGGAGCCTGGTCAGTAGCCACTGAAGGCTTTATGTGCCATGAAAAAGAAATGGTCCTTTCTTAAGCCACAAATAACTTTTCAGGGCTGATAGTGTGGGCTGGCTTTCGTATCTCAGTTTCTCACCCTGAGTGCAATAAGTCATACACATTTTTTTGTTTCCCAGTGTATATAAAAGTTATGTTTACACTTTACTGTAGTCTATTAAGTCAGGCCCCCCCTGGCTGCAGGGGCAGGAGGGGTAAAAACCTGACTCCAGCAGCTCTACTCCTGTGGCCAGAAGAGGGGGGGGGCAAGTGGCTTCCTTCCCCTGGAAGCAGCTGGGTCTCCGGGAGGGGGGGTTACTTCCCATGTTGACCCCGCCATGAGCTCGCTGGTAGGTGGCAGAGGTTTAGGCTGGCAACCATCTCAGGCTCAAACACTCCCTACCCATCTAGGGTAAATTATTGAGCTACAGTGGTGCCCCGCAAGACGAATGCCTCGCAAGATGAAAAACTCGCTAGACAAAAGGGTTTCCCGTTTTTTGAGTCGTTCCGCAAGACAAATTTCCCTATGGGCTTGCTTCGCAAGACGAAACGTCTTGCGAGTTCTTGCGAGTTTGTTTCCTTTTTCTTAAAGCCGCTAAGCCGTTAATAGCCGCTAAGCCGCTAATAGCCGCTAAGCAGCTAATTGCCGTGCTTCGCAAGACGAAAAAACCGCAAGACGAAGAGACTCGCGGAACGGATTAATTTCGTCTTGCGAGGCACCACTGTACCGTAGATTGTTGTACAAGTTACAGTGGACGCTCAGGTTGCGAACGTGATCCGTGCGGGAGGCACGTTCGCAACCCGCAGCATTCGCAACCTGCAGTGCTGCGATTCGGCGCTTCTGCGCATGCGCAAAGCGCAATTTAGTGTTTCTGAGCACGCACGAGTGCCAAAAACCTGGCTTTTTGCTCACATACACCCAAGGCTGACTTTCCAAACAAAAACAAGAGTCTGGAGAAGCAAGTAGAATTATTTGTACATTTATAATGAAATTATGGTTTTAATTTATTTACAACATATAGAAAACAAAATCAGAGAATAGTGTGGTTGTTGTTGTTGGTTTTTTTTTTAAGTGAAAGCAAGCTCCACCAGATCATTTTCTGCGGGGCGGGGAAACACCTCCAACACTTATTCCAATACTTCAAACTTTTACTTGCCCTTTGAACACAAGACAGCAAAATTTCAGGTCCAGTGGTGCCCCCTCCGTCTCTGCCCTTGACTGCAAGTGTTTTGGTTGATAGCAGCCTAACAGGCCCAGGAAAGAGCCCGCTACAGTTTTGAGTCGCTATAAAACAATCCCACAAGTTTTGTGTTTTCCTCTTCGGCCGTGGCTGCATGTCACCAGCACCCGAAGATGTCCCAAGCTCAATGCATCTCTTATCAGCAAGACAGCCACAAAGCAAAGAAGTCTGGTTGGAGGTGGTTTTTCGGAACGGAACGAGATTGCAACGATGCCATTGCTGCAGAGGTAACGACACGCTGGCCGGTCGAAGATCCAAGCACAACGGAGTGAAGAAAAATTACCTCGGGAGGAGCAGTTCGAGATTTTAACACCTACTGCTAAATCCACCCCCACCCCACAGCAAGGGGAGAAAAAGTAATACATTGTCTTCCCTGACAAATGTGACTTGGCCAAATGAAATTAGAGAGACAAAGAAGAAAACAAACCACCCGCTTGCCAAAACAATTCTGAAGTTGTTTTGGAAAACTGCATTACGGATTTTTTTTTAAAAAAAGAGACCAACAGAAAGAGATTTTAAAAAGGTGATTTTCAGGAAACAGGTTTTTCAGGCAAAGGTTTCCCCCACCCACCCCAATCCTATTTAGAAGACCAAGCATTACACACACACACACACACAAAAGTAAAATCCAGTTATAAAACAGAAATACAAGCAGAACAGCAGCAGGCTTAAGTTATTGAACTTTGCTGGTTGGCTGGCTTCTTTTCCAAAGCCAAGAACAGGTGCATGATAAGCTGGGGGGGGGAATTAAAAGAGAGAAAGGGAGAGATAATGGAGACATTCCCTGCGAGTGTAATGCTGACACTGTTTATCTGCAGTTGTATTCCGTTTAGCCTGCGGCTTTCAAATTGCCTTTGATGGAGGAGTCCACTGCAGATATAATAGCAAGTTCTTTTTGTCTGTTTGTTTTTTAAAGAAATAAAACGAAAACACAAAAACAGAGCCCCTGGCACAGAAAGGGCCATACTGCATCTCAGAAGCTTGTGCAAAGAGGTCAGGGCCGATGTACATTTTGCAGAGATTCTTTGATAATATACACGTGTTATTGCTTGAGAGAGACAACAGGTGGAAGGTGGCGGAGGCAACTGCAGCTGCAGCAGCTAAGGTGCCATCCAGAATGGCATCTGTTGCTTTGCCCGTTGCTGCGACGAGGGGTACTGGTATCCTAAGCTCCATGTCTGCGAGTAGCTACTTGCGGTTTTGTGAACCCCGTGGTCTTCTTCTTCATCCGAGGAGTCACCAGCATAAGCCACCAGGCCGAATCCCTTTTCTCCGGTTTTCATCTTCTTAGCTGGGTGATCTAATGATGATGAACAGAGAGAGAGAGAGAAAAAAAGAGAGAGACATCCCGCCCCAGGAAAAAATAAAAGAGAAAGGTAAAAAATATCCCCCAAAAACATGTTAATTCAAATGAGAGGCATTAATGTATTTTTTTTTCCAAAAAAAAAGTTAGTCGGACACCATTTTGAGGTCACAGAGCCAACAACGGTCACCCCGGATGGGAGGTCAGGCGATACAGGACCGGCAAACAGCACAAGTGTGATCCGTCAGAGCCATGTAAGAGAACATAGAAGAGAGAGAGAGAAAAAAAAGAAAAACACAAAAAGACAAAGAAAAGTCAAGTTAGCAAAAATGAGGCAACAGGGTTTGCAAGTTCACCGTTAAAGAACAACATGTAAAAAAAAAACAGGAGCTGGTTGAAAGTGTCCAACTATCTTTTTTAAAAAGGGAAACTTTTAAGAAAGGGGGGGGGAGAGAAGTGTTATGTTCTGTCCCCCGGTTAGAAGTGTCCAATTCAAGCTGGATGTCCTACCAGCAGAAAAGCCACGCTGAGCACCTAAGCACAGGAGCGGAAATCAACTGACTATATGTCAATTTCACTTGGCATCACAGGAAAAGCTAAGGTTCCCTGCTTGAAATGCAGAATTTTGCTTTTCTGGGTATTGAGGAGGAAGGAGTATGATGTATTGCTTGGTGGAGGAGGATGTAAGGAAGAGAGAGAAAAAGAGGGAAAGCAGCAGTAACTGGGAAGGAGGGCTAGGATGCTGGGTCCGCAAATCAGACCAAAGCAACAGCCCTGAGAAGGAGACACTGTTCTTTTCCCTGCGGTGTCTGAGCAAAGAAAAACATTAGCTCCAAGAACAGCAGATCCAAGTGCAGAAGGGAAAAAGTTCTATTGTTCTGCTCACTCTCCTGATCAGAACTGGAAATGGATGGCTTGCATCATCTGTCACCAGTCTGGTGCCTCCAGATGTAAAACTCACATCTGGCTGGCTGGGGCTGATGGGAGCTTTCATCCAAAACATTTGGAGGGAACTAGGTTGGTGAGGGATGACTTACAGCTTCCTCATCCTTCTTAGGAACATAGAAACTAGGCAAGGGACATCACCCAGCCCTACCTGGAGATGCCTTTTTGGACTGAACCTGGGACCTTCTGCATGCAAAGCTCTACCACTGAACCGCAGCCCCTCCCCTAAAAATAAAGTAAGGTTCCAGTCCTCCTGGTTCAAAACAAAGGGCTGATTTAAAGAAGAACAGAGGAAGCTCCCTTGAGTCAGAACAATGGTCCATTTGGCTCAGTATCATCAACCTAGGCAGAGCCTCTTCCAGGATTTCAGACAGGGAGTCCTTTTCCTAGTCTAACCTGGAGATTGAATTAGAGGCCTTTGTGTGTGCAAAGCAGGGGTCTCCTCTTCTGCCTGCTCGCACCCCTTTTCTGCCCTCCTGCCCAGGCACCTTTGCGGATTACACAAGCCCGGGTGCCATGTTTTAAATGCTTGCTCTTTCGTATGTGGCGGTGTTCATACCAAGGGCCTCCACATGGCATCCATGGGAGAGAGACGGGTGGTATTCGGAAGCTTCTCCCTGCAGAGCTGTGCATTGTGGGAACAGGAAGGACATTCACACTCGGAGCTCCTGGGAACTCCAGGTCTGTGCATTTTCAGAGACAAATTGTACCCTTAGCTTTACCACTCTGTAATTTTACTCTTTGGAGTTCGTGTAAGAATAAAGGTTTGATTTACTCTTAGTTTTAGTTTTCCTAGCTACTAACAGAACTCAGAAGACAGGGAACTGAAAGTAAGTTGTGCACATAAGAGTTTAGCACCTGGAGGTGACACTGGGAAGAACAGCCTAAAGTTAGCTAGGCCGGCTGATGGAATGCAAGTACAAGTCACGGCTCCCGGCCGCCCACGCTCACCATTGCCGCCCACTAAGGACCCGTTCCGGTCGTCAGGCTCCACCTTCATCCCGGTCACTGGTAAAGCCGGTGGAGGCATCAGCTGCCTGTTCGGAAACAAAGAGCATTTCAAGCTTATTCAACCCATTAAAGCCCTAAATATTTATATTAGGCAGGTGCCTTCCTTATATTATTTTTGGCCCCTGCTGAAAACTGTTTTGCATGGGCAAACTTAGCCACATTTTAATATGGAATTTCTATTTTATACCCAGCAGTATCGCACCTGGCCCTGCAAGGGGATTCTAAGTGCAGATTCTCAGGGCAGTTCTTAAATCAGTGGTTAGTATCAGTGTAGTTTTGAAAGGTTCAGCCCGCCATCTTCCTTCCAAATGGTGTCCAGCTGTATACAAACGTTGACAGAAACCTGCTCCTCCATCATCATGAAAATTTGTCCACGGTATCTCAAGAGGTGTCCAAATGCATATTTCCAAAACTAAAGCGTATTAAGACTGCAGATTAATTTTTTATTTTGAAATTCTGTGGCTCAATTTGTTTTCACACTATTTTATCAGTACAGTCGTACCTTGGTTCTCGAATTTAATCTGGGAGTCCCAAAACAGTTCAAAAACCAAGGCGCAGCTTCCGATTGGCTGCAGGAGCTTCCTGCACACAGTCAGAAGCCGCGTAAGCTGTGTTGGACATTTGGCTTCCAAAAAATGTTCGCAAACCAGAACACTCACTTCCTGGGTTTGTGACATTCAGGAGCCAATTTGTTCGACAACTAAGGCATTCAACTACCAAGGTACCACTGTATTCTTAATGTGTATTGGTTTGCAAACCGCTAAGAGGTTTTGAGGATTAAGCAATATATAAATCCTGTGGAATAAATAAACGGTTTAAGAACATAAGAAGAGCCTGGCTGCTGGATCAGGCCAAAGGCCCCATCTAGTCCAGCATCCTGTTCTCACAGCAGCCAACCTGAAGGCTCTGGGAAGCCTGTCTGCAGGTCCTGAGCGCAAGAAGAACCCTTCCCAATTGGGACTCATTGGCTTGGGACCAGGTTGCTTAAAAAAGCCATCTTCTCCCATAGTTAGCGAGGCCTGCTGAAATGAAGGGCTGTGACTAACCCGGGTCCATTCATTTCAATGGGTCTACTCTTAGCTGGATAAAACCTGTAGGAAGCTGCTTTATAACAAGTTGGCCCATTGATCCCATCTAGCTTAGTACTGTCATGCGCAATATGTCCCGTTTTTAAATTTTGTTGTAAGCTGCTGTTGAAGGGAGGGTAATAAATTTAACAACATGGTCTACAATTCCCCCCCCCCTCTTTTTAGTAAAGGTAAAGGGACCCCTGACCATTAGGTCCAGTCGTGGCCGACTCTGGGGTTGCGGCGCTCATCTCGCTTTACTGGCCGAGGGAGCCGGCGTACAGCTTCCGGGTCATGTGGCCAGCATGACTAAGCCGCTTCTGGCGAACCAGAGCAGCGCACAGAAACGCTGTTTGCCTTGCCGCCAGAGCGGTACCTATTTATCTACTTGCACTTTGACATGCTTTCGAATTGCTAGATTGGCAGGAGCAGGGACCGAGCAGCGGGAGCTTACCCCATCGCAGGGATTTGAACTGCCGACCTTCTGATCGGCAAGTCCTAGGCTCTGTGGTTTAACCCACAGCGCCACCCACGTCCCTTCAACATCTATTTACCCCCCCCCTCTATTCTGGAAATATCGTTGGGACTTCAGCTCCCATCAGCCCCAGCAGCTTCTGGGTCATGTGGCCAGCATGACTAAGCCGCTTCTGGTGAACCAGAGCAGCACACAGAAACGCCGTTTACCTTCCCGCTGGAGCAGTACCTATTTATCTACTTGCACTTTGACATGCTTTCGAACTGCTAGGTTGGCAGGAGCAGGGACCGAGCAACGGGAGCTCACCCCGTCACGGGGAATCGAACCGCCGACCTTCCGATCGGCAAGTCCTAGGCTCTGTGGTTTAACCCACAGCGCCACCCACGTCCCTCCGTCTTTTTACAATACCCCAAAACTCAGCGACCTCACTTCCCCTAATGATAGGGCCTGAGGAGCACTTCCACACTGAAACACATTTCATTGCAGTTCCCACTCAGAACTGCACCAGAGCAAAGCTGGGCGCCACGGCCACAACCTACCTGTCCCTCTCTCTCTCCTTTCCTGAGGAACTTGCTGGCTTCGAACCCGTTCCATCCATCTCGGTCTGACTGGAGAAGCCTGTACCTAAATTAGTCATATGAATGGGTCCATGCTATGAGCAGAAAAACACAGCGGCATTAGCAAATCTAAAACTATGACACAAGCTATCAGCTCCTTAATGAAAACTTGCAGCAGGCCCAGTCTCTCTGCTCTCTACACACCATTACAGGCCATGCTTCCGTTTTTTTCTAGGCCTCTTAAAACGCTGTGCATTTTGCACATGGTAAACTGGAAAGCTTGCTGCACAACAATGCCCAAACCACCTGGGAGCATGAGCATAGCGTATCATGGCTTAAGATACTCTGTGCAATCCTTTCAAGAGCCCTTGAATGGTAGGCCAGGGTTTGTTGTTTCCATATTGCAGATGGGAAGGCTGAGGCTGAGCAAATCGCTAAGGAGGCCAATGTCATTCACAGGCAAGGTGAGGTTTGAACGGGGGGATTTCTCAACACATAGCTCAGGTTCTGTGCCAGTCCAGGATTTGAACTCAGGTGTGTGGAATATTTACTTCTCTTCCAAAGGAAAAGGTAACAGGGATCAGTTTTTTGTTTTAAAGGGCTGTTAAGACTCAACAGCTTTTTCAGACCAGCCTCATAACTGAGACTGTAGCAGCCTGTGCCACCTGTGGCAAGTAAGAACAGCTGCCAGGGAAGTTAAGAAAACAGAGCTGGTTCCCTTTTCTTCTTCTCCTTTCGAGCTGTCCAAATGTCACAAATGACTCACCTAAGTATGGAACGAGGAAGTTGCCCTACACCAGGTCAGAACAGGGGAAGGTGCCTGCTAAAACCAACAGGCCCTTCCGTTCCAACTCTTGAAATGAAATACAGCATCATCATCTGTGTCTGTTTCTGTTAACTAACCATTCACTTTAGTTTAAATCTAGATCTTCTATGAACGTTCTTCTTTGCTCAGTATTTTTGCTCACTGTAAACTCAGCACAAATTTTCAGTGGCTCTTTATATCTTAGCCACTGCCTTTTATTATGAGAACAAAGGAAGGTTCCTTAGACCAGGCCAAACCATCTAGCCAGCACAGCCCGCTCTGACTGGCAGATCTCCATGATCTCAGACAGAGAAAGTTCTTCTCCCATCAACTCCTAACGTGACTTTTTAACTGGAGATGCCACAGAGTGGCTGGCACAACCCAGTCAGATGGGTGGTGTATAAATAATAAAATTTATATTTTTATTATTATTAACCTGGGACCTTCTCAATTCAAACGAATGCGCCTTTCTATTTCAATTATGGCCCCTCCCACATGTGGGCAGACAGGCTAGTCACTTGTGTTGACTTACTTACAAGCCTAGTTTAGAGATGGAAAGCAAACAAAGAGGAAATAGTGGCATCTATTATAAAGTTTGAAATTGGAAGGGAAAAAACACTCAGTCCTCGATCACCACCACAAAGCCTCAAAACCCAGCAGAGAGTAAGATGCAAACTGGGACAGCTAGTGGGGTCCCTCAATGGTGCAGGTAGCAAGGCAAAATATATTTCGAAGCAAAAAAAATTCCTTCCAGTAGCACCTTAAAGACCAACTAAGTTAGTTCTTGGTATGAGCTTTCGTGTGCATGCACACTTCTTCAGATACATACTGTGTATCTGAAGAAGTGTGCATGCACACGAAAGCTCATACCAAGAACTAACTTAGTTGGTCTTTAAGGTGCTACTGGAAGGAATTTTTTTTGTTTTGACTATGGCAGACCAACACAGCTACCAATATATTTCGAAGGTCACTGGGATAGGGGACCAGGTGTTGCAAAAAAAATGTAAACAATGGGGTCAAACTGCTAAGGAATTCATGTGGTATGGATTCCAAGCTTCCTGGTCAGAGCTCAGACAGGTACGAGATCAGGAAAGGGCTGTGATGAATACTTTCTCTGCTTCTACTGCAGGGTGGGGAACCTGTGGCATTCTAGACAGTGCTGGACTTCAACTCTCATGAGCCCTGACTACTAGCCGTGGCTTCTGGGAGTTAGAGTCCAACAATATCAGGAATCTGTGTGTTCTGTCGCCACCGCTTTAAAGTGTCACCAGGTTCCTTTTTGTAACCACCATGAGAAATCAGGGTCCTACCTCTTGGCTGGCAAACCACCTCGCCCAGCAATTGCTTGGGACTCCTGGAAAAGGGTCCATGCGATGTTGGGACTACAGCTCCTATCAGCCTCAGCCAGCACGGCCAGTGACGATGGGTGTTGTAGTCCAGCAACATCTGCTGGACACCTCACTTGGGAACGCAAAGCCTGCCTAGGGATTACTGCCTACCCCAAAGAACGCAACACCTTCTTTGGCCAAGGTGATGGGGAACTTGAGATGAGCCCGATGAATCAGGTCAGTGGCCCATCTAGTTCAGCACCCCGTTCTCAGGTGCTGCAGTCGGGAATGCAGAAGCAGGAGACGAGCAAAAGAGCATCTCTCCCAGCCTGCGGCTTCCAGCAACTGGCAGATTGTTGGCCCTGACCCTCCAGGGCCCACCTGACAGCAGGGCACTTGAGGAACACTAGCTTCTACTGTATCTGACCCGTAGACGCTTGTGGGAAAAACCTCAAAATCCAGGTGTGGAACCAGCTCTGTGACCAAAGGAAAGAGGGGCAGGGGAGGCAGTAAAATGGCAGGGAGTCACTCCACCTGGTATCCCAGCAGCCCAGATTCCCGCTCATCCGGCAGCTCTTCGGTGAAACGCCTCTTCTGGCCCGGCTGGGGTTGGGGCTGACCTGGCGGCTGCGTGGTGGCCGGCAAGGTCGTCTTCACGGGGGCGGCCGGGAGGAAAGGGGCGCTCAGCGGCGTCTACAAACCATGCAGGCAAAAGAAGAGAGGGGTTATTTCGATACTGATCGCATTTGTAGCCCACCTTGGCTCCCCTTTGTGGGCAAACACCAGAGCGGTTAAAAAAGACAAGTAACAACAAAATGACAATGTATCTTATAAACATGCACACAATCTCACTGCACTTAGAAATCGCTTCCTGTGAAACGCGGGAGCAATTTGAGACAATAAAATCGCCCATTAGAAAAGCAACTTCTTAAGCACCAACAACCGAAACAGTAACATGTATTTATTGTACTTGTATGGTCTGTGTTTTGTTCTTTCTATATCCACTAAACTCCAAACCAACAAACGAAAAGGTAAAACAACACAATATATGAAAACAATGTCTAATCCAATTGTGATGGGCACCTTAGCTACTGTTTACAGGGGGGTCACAATTCAGCCCATATTCAGAGCCCCCTTCCCACAACCAACCACTAACTAAATCTGCTTCCATGGGACTACATTTGTGGCTGTGAAAGGCAAGTCGGGCCTCAGCTCTGCACTGCTCTATTTGGTCAGATCTGCCCTTGCTAAGGCTCCCAAGCCAGGCTCTCTTTTTAGCTACATGCCTCCTTCTCTCTCTCCACCAATCAGTGCTCAAATTAGAAGGGCAGGGATTTTGGTGCTGGGCCTCAAGCTCATGTTTTTAGAGACCCATGAGAACGTTTGGATTCCTTACGAGCCTCCTCACTACCCTTCCCCTGTAATTGGAGCAATGGAAGGCCCACATCCTGCAAAACCGAATGCTCTTCTCCCTGATGCTGTGTGCACTTCTCACGTAAACAAGAACCCAGATTTACTGGCTCACCATGAATGGGCAGCTTGCCCTACCCCCACCCACAGCAGGTGAGTCCCCCACCCCTGAATGGAGTGATGCATGACGCCTGCAACACATCACAGAATCACAGATTTGGAAGGGACCACAAGGGCCATCTAGTCCAACCCTCTGCAATGCAGCGACTTTCTGCCCAATGCGGAGCTCAAACCTATGAACCTGAGATTAAGAGTCTAAGCTTGACCTTGATTTTTAAAAAGAGACAAAAAGACGTGAAATCTGATAACTTCTCATTCAGACTCCAAGAGATATACTCCACATGTTAATGCTATCAAATCTCCCCTCCCCTGCTAAAATACAAAAGCCCCACCACTACCACTAAGCTGTGTTAGGATTCTGCCAGCTCCTGAAGGCACACCTGCATACCTTTGATCTCCTGCTTTAATTGCCATTTTTAACACTGTGCTGCTTTAATGGGCTCGTTTCATTGTGCATTTTAATTGCCAATGTTTATTCTGATGAAGTTGTTTTCTTGTATGTTTCATTTATGTGTGGTTAAAAAACTTTTTTTATTTACCGCTTCTAAACTGCTTAGAAGCCACCTCCTAAAGGACGAGAGGGTGGCAAGCTCACCCACAAAGCAGACTACAATTAAAACTTTTTTTAAAAAAGTTGAAAAACTTCTGAAAAGCAATTTAAAGCGTCTATGAAACAGTCTAAAAAAATATCAACAGCCACCCCTACAGCAGTGTTCTTCAACCTTGCGTCTCCAGATGTCGCTGGACTACAAATCCTATCATCCCCAGCCGGCTTCACCAACGGTCAGAGATGATGGGAGTAGCAGTCCAACAATCTCTGGGGATTCAAGGACACTGCCCTAGACACTACTGGGTGCCCCCTCACCAGTCATCAGGCAACATTCCCTGCCTTACCTGGCCAGTGCTAGCGGGAGACTGCACTTGCGTAATCGGGTACTGGGTGGGCACAGGTGGGACTCCGGTGGGTAGTGCTAACACTCCCGGCGCCAACGGAACCGCAGGAGGCACAATGCCTGGCACCCCATAAGGAGGCTGTACCGGCTGCTGAGGGGGCGGAACCACAGGGTAGCCTGCCTGAAAGCCGCTGGGAGGGTAATACGGTGGCTGAGGAGGGACAGTCGTTAAAGCTGCGGGCTGCGCAAACCCTATGGGGGTGGGGAGAGGAAGAAAGTAATTATTATTATTTCTTTTATACATGAATTACTTTCTATTGAAGCATGTCAAGGCAATTTCACAAAACAGTAAAAATACAGAAAATCACTGCATATATAAAGAAAGTTGAAATTCTTACATAAACACACACACACATAAAAAGTTTCAAACCCAATACAGAGTGTGACCTGGGGCACAAATAAAAATATCTCTTAGAAGGCCTGCTGAAAAAGGAAAGCCTTCAACAGATGCTGAAAAGTGATGGTGACTGTCTGATACGAAATAGGAAGGTGTTCCAAATTAACACTGAGGTCCAGCGCTGAGGGCCTTCTGGCGGTTCCCTTACTGTGAGAAGCCAAGTTACAGGGAACCAGGCAGAGGGCCTTCTTGGTAGTGGCACCCGCCCTGTGGAACACCCTCCCACCAGATGTCAAAGTGAAAAACAACTACCAAACTTTTAGAAGACATCTGAAGGAAGCCCTGTTTAAGGAAGCTTTTAATGTTTAATACGTTATTGTATTTTAGTGTTCTGTTGGAAGCCGCCCAGAGTGGCTGGGGAAACCCAGCCAGATGGGCGGCGTATAAATAATAAATTTAATTAAATTTAAAATTAACATGCTGGTGGGCATGTGGGTGGGGACAGAAAGAAAAGCTGGTGGAGCAACGAATCCAAATTTTACATAGTAAACTGTTCAAACTGTCTTTAATATTGTATTTTAATTGTTGTAACCGGCTCCGAGACCTTAAGAGTGAAGGGAGGGTTGTTAAACAACAACAACAGGCTGGTTTCTACACGCAGACACACAGAGCCCTTTTGCTCCTCCATTCGGGCAAACAAGGGGCATTATCAGGCTTCAAGGACACATTCCAGCCAGGCAAAAGCACTCAAGGGGTATATGAAGCAAGGCCCGTGCAGAGGTGTGGCCTGGGCAGAGGATGTGCGGCTTGGGTATCACAAGAGGAACAGATGTGGCCCTCCAGGCCAAGCTATCTCCAGGTCTATGATCCCCCGCACCAGACTGAGGTTCTTCAATCTGTCCTTGCAAGCACAACAGGGAGCAACCAGGTGGCAACAGAGAACTGCGTCACCCACCACTGTGATGCAGCCCCCCCCCAACAGGGAATAGAAAGGCTGAGAGCTGTTTCTCGACCTGTGGGCTTTCATAATGGCAAATTTAACCCCAAAGTCTCTGGTTTCCATCTTTCATCCCCACTCCACCACCGAACTAAGTGTTGCACGCTGTCAATACGCACCTGTTATGGGGACTGCCGTGGTTATCTGGTTCACAAATCGCGAGTATTCAGCATGAACCTTGGAAGAGAAAAAGAGGGATCAGATTGCTTCGGTTTCAATAAAGGACACCCATGCAAACTGACTGCTCTAGTGGGAGACCGTATAGCCCTGGTTAGGTGAGCCTAGTTGTATGCAAACTGTTAAGCTCCTCCTGTCTGGATTAGTTCTACTGCCCAATGCTACAAGTGGGAGTCTGTCTGGGGGCAGGGAAGGGGCTTCTTCAGTATTGGGGATGGGGAACCTATTTGTTCTCCAGATGCTACTGTAGTACTACAACTCCCACCAACCCCTAGCAAGCATGGCCAATGGGCAGGGGATGATGGGAGCAGCAGTCCAAAATGTTTGGAGGGCACCAGGTTGGAGGACACTGCATTAAAACAAAAGGATCCAAAAAAAGGGAAATCAGGGCCATTACAAAATATAAAGAATTACTCAAGACTAGCACAACGGCCTCGGTCCAGTATATCTGAAGGAGCGTCTCCTCCCCCATCGTTCTGCCCGGACACTGAGGTCCAGCACCGAGGGCCTTCTGGCGGTTCCCTCACTGCGAGAGGCCAAGTTACAGGGAACCAGGCAAAGGGCCTTCTCGGTAGTGGCGCCCGCCCTGTGGAATGCCCTCCCATCAGATGTCAAAGCGATAAACATCTACCTGACATTCAGAAGACATCTGAAGGCAGCCCTGTTCAGGGAAGTTTTTAATATGTGACATTTTAGTGTATCTTTCATCTTTGTTGGAAGCCGCCCAGAGTGGCTGGGGAAACCCAGCCAGATGGACGGGGTACAAATAATAAATTATTGTTATTAATTATTATTATTATTATTATTATTGCACAATCACAAATAGTCAGTTTCAACCGTCAGCTCCGATTCCCAAGTATGAGGTGTTTTACTAGGTTAAGCAACTGCACCGTAACAACAGCTGGGACAGCTCAGTTGGTAGATCATGAGACACTTAATCTCAGGGTCGTGGGTTCGAGCCCCAAGTTGCAGAGAGCTGGACCAGGTTGGCTTTCGTGGTCCCTTCCAACTCTAAATTCTATGACAGCTGGCCAGTTTGGGAGGGTTTCAAATTAGCAAAAAATGGAAGACATGCTGCTTTGTTCCCAACAACAATCCTTTTCACTAGGAGGGTCAACACGCAGCTGGGACATCAGGGGCTGCCACAACCAAAGGATGCTGGACTCAGATTCCCAACAGGCCCCAGCCACCACTGGTAGGAAAGCTGTATATAAAGTGCAGAAAGAGATGGGCACTTCACGCGACTTTGGCGAGAGAGTGCAACAATAAAAAAAGTAGGGCTTACTTACTGTTTGTAACAGGTTCTCACAAAGCTTTTTGGCAGCTGCAAGGCCTTCTGGTTTTGGGTGGCTGGAGGAGAGGAAATACAACACACTGACACACACGTTCCTGTCAGACTCCAGACATCCACAAAGATGGTCAAAAGGTTCCTACATAGCAGGGGGTGGGACTAGATCAGCGTTTCCCAAACTTGGGTCTCCAGCTGTTTTTGGACTACATCTCCCATCATCCCTAGCTACCTGGATCAGTGGTCAGGGATGATGGGAATTGGGAAACACTGGACTAGATGTCCCCCGGGGCTCACTTCCGACCCTGCTATTCCAATGTTAGGAGTCAGGTGTCCTTGCTCACCTGCTTCAAATCACCCAGGGAGCCGCTAGTAAATCCCAACCTGCTTGCTGCCCATCCCACATTCAGCTGATCAGAAAGGCTTCGTAATTAAACTAAGCCAGCTCAGCAAGCTTGACACTGCAACTTTACACTTGGGATGGCACACAAAAAGCCGATTCCTTCCCGGTGACAAAGCCCAACGGGCTCCCAGCTCCCTACCTGATGTAAATGTACATCGGCTCAAAGGCTTCTCGGCCAGAGGCAGGTTCAATGCACCCAGAGCCCTTCCCCCGGAGGAACACCTTGGCGCCGGTCTCAATCTGGATATGTTGCAAGTAGGAGCAGCCTGGGCCTTCGACTTTCTCCTTTACGTTGAAGGTAGGTACAGCGTGTTCCAAGCCAACAAACAATTTGTCCTGGACATAGTGCATCTGTACACACACACAGAGAGAGAGACACCCTTAGGTGTTGCATTTGACACCAGAATCAGGAAGGGGTGGGAATGGATTAGAGGTCCCCTGCTAGGGTCATAGCTCAGTAGCAGAGCGTTTGCTTTGCATGCAGAAGGTCCTGGGTTCAGTCCCTGGCATCTCAGCATAGGGCTGGGAGACAACCTTGTCTGACACCCTACCAATCAGGGTAAGCAACACAGAGCTAGATGGACCAGTGATCTGACTCGGTATAAGGTGTGTATAGACAGGGGTAGCCAGTGTGGTGCTGTCAAAATGTTGCTGGACTACAACTCCCATCATCCTTGACCACCCTGAGGCCGATGGGAACTGTAGTCCAACATCACCTGGCAGGCACCACACTGGCTACATGTTTGTCCGATGGCACAGTGAGGTCTCCACTCTTTCTGCAAGCTGAACCCCTCTCTCCATCGTGTTTCTCTAAGAGGATGGTATCGACAGAGCCCAGCTGTACAGGCTCTGCCTTCTTAATCCTCTAGTTTGGGAATAAGCAGACATGGACAGTTCAACAGGCAAACAAGTGTAAAGCAAAATGCAAGGCAGTGTTCAAAACTCCCATTGTTCTAGGTGTGTTTTGTGACAGAGAATTTAATTAGCGTGAACAGTTTCTGAGCTCTGGGTGCAGTACTGAGCCTAAGATTTCAGATTAAAACTGCACAGTGGAAGGAAAGGAAGACCCTTTTCTGCCTTCCCACTTCCAGCCACTCTCTGAAGACTGGAGAAGAGGCCCTCTTAGGGGGGCGGGCAGGGGAAGCATGTGTTTGTTTTTTTCAGTCTTTGTATGAGGAATAGACAATGTGAAAAACGAACATAAGATTTTAGCTGCAGTTCATGCATTTTCAGCTTTGTATTCCTGTTACTAAAAAGGCATGCCTAGACATTCCGCTGTCGCACCCATAGCCTAGGTTTAAGGTGCCATTTAGCTCCTAGCTTTCATATCTCAGTTTCTAACACTGATGCAAGGGTAAAGACACAAGGACTTGGCCAATACGTACTCCTCCAGACTGGAAGGAGGGCTTCTGGCCAACAGCCGGAGGCAGCTGAGTGATGGGGGCAGGTTGGTGGTAGACGGTAACTGTAGCTCCGTTGAAAGTTGGGCTGGATCCAGTGGCAGCTTTCACGACGCCGTTTGTAATGATTTCCTTGATTCGGTTTACTGCTCCTGTAAGGCAGAAAGAAATAAACGACTTTAGCTCTATGAAAAGAAGGGACATTGTGGTTACTACAGAAGAAGAAGAAGAAGAAGAAAACATTTAGGGTAATTTCACAATCATTATTCATTAAGGATATAGAAGAGTTATCTGTGTTGGATTTGAATTGTTTTCATGTAGGTGCTGTTGTTGCATTAGAAGATTAGGACACTCTGCATGAAGCCCTGGAGAGCTGCTGCCAGACAGTGTAGATGGAACTGAGCTACATGGACCAGTGGGCCTGACCCAGCATAAGACAACTCCTTATGTTCCCAAGGACATGCTCTTTGAGGGGAAGGTCTGCAGCCTGGTGGCACAGCATCTATTTTGCTAGCAGAAGCACCAAGGTTCAATCCACCAGAATCTCCAGACATGGCTGGGAGAGACTCCCTGTCTGAAAGCTTGGAGAGCTGCTGCCAGTCAGGGTAGACAATATTGAGCTGCATGGGCTAGTGGTCTGACCCAAGCATAAGGCAGCTGCCAATACTCCAATCATGCAGTTATAGAGCTGGGAAAGGCCTTGATGGTCATATAGTCCAACCCCTTCCTTAATGCAAGGTTTATAATGTTGGAAGCAACCACAGCAACCCTTAACAGATGGCTGCCCAGCGAAAAAATTAAGCAACAACACAACTTCATATTTAATAACAACTCTGTGCCTGTTAGGCTAACGGTGCCTTAGTCAAGTGAACTAACTAACCTCAGCTGTGTACACACTATACCTTAAAAGCGCATTTTAAATGCATTCTTCCCCTTAAAAGAGTTGCACTGTGGTTTATCCCTCAGTTGCAATTCACAGCAACCCTTAACTAGCTACAGTGCCCAGAATTCTTTTGACGGAAATAATGTGCTTATAGATACAGCACAGACACAGCCATTCTCTACCCAGGGTGTTGAATCAGAGCTTACTTACTATCCACCAGTTCTCGCGTTTGCCCTTGGACGTGCAAGTACAATGGACGATCTCTGCAAAACACAAGTTTTAATTTTTTTTATATATTTTAAACTGAAACAAAGGTCTCCACTGGAGGCAGTCAATGTCTCTGGGACTCTGGGAATAAACTGTAGCCAGCCCCATAGGGGATAAAATGCTGCACTTGGGGGCACTCTTATGGTGAGGGCTCTCTGTCCTTGACACGGGGCACTGTGTGTGTTTGCTCCCATTAAAAAGGATTTGCAGGAAGGTAGCTGTTTGGTGGGGGGGGGGGAGTCCTCCTGGTTTTGCAAACTGAAGAATGGTATTGGTGGAAGAGCAGAGGATTGCATGTTGCTTCCTCCATCCAGTAACGTTTGACTTGTGCAGTTTTAACTTTGCACATCTCGATCAAGTGAGCAGCCAAGTCACATAGCTTACAAAATTACAAAAATGCACAAACGTAGCTGGTCTGCTCATTCAGGTCCAATATCTAATCCAAAAGAACTCATTCTTCTACAGATTTTTTTAATCCTGGAGAGAACCAGAGGAGGAAATCGAAGAAGATACAAACCCAGGCCCAACTTTTGCTTTCTCTTCTGCAGTCATGTACCTCCCCCGAGTTGAGACTGCGGCTCCGCTCAGCCTACTTATCTGCAGATACAAAGGGACAAAGCATTGCTCAGATTGGGAAATGCAGTAAAATCCCTGCTGAATCAGGAAAAAGGCTCATGTGGTCCAGCAGCCCCAATTTCCTACAGCAGCCCTTGGAAAGCCTCAAGGGGGAGCTCACAAGTCAGGCCTGTAGGCAATAGCCTTCCTTTTACCCATTCATACACCACCTATTTGTCCTCAGCTACTGTTAAGCAGGCCCCATCTGCACAACATAAAGATGCTGTGTTATGTGTCATGACATAAGGATACGGAGAGCTGTTAGAAGACCTCCTATTTCCAGTGCGGAGAAACAAATTCTAGAGCTCCCTGGAAAGAGGGAGCAAATGCTAAACTACTTTGGGAACGGTAGTTTTGTGAGCTGAATAGTTATCTCCCAATAGATCTCACCATCTTTAACAAACTACAGCTCTATTATTATTATTATTATTATTATTATTATTATTATTATTATTTGGGGGGGAAGAATCATGATTGTTCAAACTGGTATGATGCTGCTATAAATGTATGGTGCAACGAGGACCTAAGACGTACACTGATTCTGGAGCTTCCATTTAGCTAGGATTGCCAATATTTAATGAACCAAAGCAAAGTGGCAAGGCGTCTGCTTGCATGCAGAAGGTCCCAAGTTCAGCCCCTGGCATCAAATAAGGCTGGAAGAGAACTCCCATCTGAAACCCTGAAAAGCTGCTGCAAGTCAGCCTTGACAATGCTGAGCTAGATGGACCAATAGCTGGACTAATGCTCCCTCCCTCCCCCAAGACTCGCTTAACAGCTATTGACACCCAGTTGTTCCAGAGGTCGGACAGGGTTTCAACAGGAGCACCAGGCATATCAGCTGGAAAGTACCCCAGAGCCACCTGGAAACCCATAGGACCAATTAGCCACAAGCAGCACAGACCTCATCCTGCGTCTGCCCTCTCGTCAGGAGGTTTCGGCACGTGAGAGGCACGTCGTTTATCTCCACTTCTGCGACGACAAGATCATCTTTGCTTTTGCTCGCAGCCGGTCCTTTTCCAGGAGCCTGAAGCTGTTAACAGATCAGACAATGGGCATCAAGACACATAAGCCCCACCCTTTGCACACTCACCTGCCCCTCTCCATCCAGGCAAGGAGGAGGCATGATGAGAGTTCAAGGGTACATTCAAGCCAGACAGAAACACTCCATGAGGGTGTGAAGCAGGGCTGGCAAGAGGTGTGGCCTGGGGAGAGTCCCAAGGGCCTACAGAGAGGTCCAAAGAGTTGCATTTGTTTGGTTTGGTTTTTCTTTTTGCATTTCCAGTTACAGACATTCATTTCTTTCACTGATACAACATCTTATACAATGATAATCACCTATTCCCAGATAGGCTGGAAAGTCTTCTTATGATAAGAAATAACTAGCGATGTTTCATGGCTGTAACTGAAGGGTTGCATTTGACCCCTGGGCCTGAGGTTCCCCAACCCTGTCACAAGCTAGGCAAGTAGAGTCTCGCTTATTAAGCCAGACTTTCCAGCATCCAAAGAGAAAAGGGAAAGTCACTGGTACGTTAAAATCCCTCCCCCACCCTCGCCAACTTGTTTTGAAAGCAGATGCGATTGAACCAAGGGATAGATTTCATGCAACCAGTCCAGATTGCTCCAAAATGTTCACTACCAACAAGAAGGGGAAACCAAATTATTTTCTTTGGAAGGATGACAGAGTTAAAACAAACCTGGCTGGCTCATTCACCCTTTGTAGTCTTAATTTTGCAGTGCAGTTCATACATTGTGTACAGGCATACCTCCGGTTGCAAACGTGATCCGTGCGGGAGGCATGTTCGCAACCCGCAGCACCGCGTCTGTGCACGGGCGTGACGCGATTCAGCACTTTTGTGCATGACGTCATTGTGTGATTCTGCACATGTGCAAGCGCCGAAACCCGGAAGTAACCCGTTCCAGTACTTCCTGGTTCGGCGCGGTCCGCAACCCGAAAATGCGCAACTCACAGCATTTGTAACCCGAGGTTTGACTGTATATTCATTGTCCCTTTGCAGGGCTAAATCTAGGCTCAAGGAGACTCACAGCAAAGTGCCATCTTGTCCCAGACACCCCCTTTTAATTTAATCCACCAGAGCTTAGCTATCTTGGGCTGACCACCCATAGCCTCAGGTGTTGTCTCATGGGGGGGGGTGATAGAATATAGCCCCTGGTATATGTCTGTGGCAGCAGCCACCTCCCACTGCAATATATACAGAGTCCAGAATGACTGAAATTCTGGAGTTTTGGTAGGGCAAATTCAAGACCACAGCTGCAGCACCAGTAAAACAAAGTTTTTAGAAATACTTATCTTAACAGGGCCTAAGGGAGGTGTTGGGGACTTCTTAGGGAATGTGGGCCCTGGTAGGTGCCTGGACAAATCTGATGGCAATGCTGGGCTTGGTGAATTAATTTTTGATCAGTTTCATGTCAACACTGTCTACTTTCAGTACTGCTCATTTTGTTATGTGCTCATTTTGAACTGCATTCATATCATTGTTTGTGGCTTGTGATATGTTGCTACAGATCTGCCTATCTCACAATTGCTATTTTGTTTTGTTCTTAAGGCAAACCACTTTGACCACAATACATATTAAAGGGTAAGCGGACAAATGAAAAAAGGGGCACGCTGATTGCAGAACAAACCTTCATTACAACCCACTGATAGCCAACACAAGGGGTTATATCCAACCATGTTGACCCACTGCAATTAATTTCAATGGGTTTGATATGCCCCAATACACATTTGGCCAGGAAACAATGGGCAAATAGTTAATAGCATGAGCGAACAAGTCCAAATCCTAAATTTGAGACTTCAGTTGTGTACACATCAGAGCACATGGCTCCCTGCAAAGAATCCTGGGAACTTAAATTTAACCTTCACATAGCTACAAAGCGCAGCACCTGTAACAACCTACAATTCCCAGGATTATAGAGGTGTGCTTTAAATGTACGGTGTGTATACAGCTTTCTTTTCTCAACCGTCATGAAAGTTAAATGGCTTCTTGCTTTCGAAATCTGATGCCTTCACCCTCACCACACCTTGTCCGCTGAATTTGCCGTTGGTTTCAGCTTCCCTTTGGCCATTAACATGGCATTGATTTTGGCTGCCACGGCAGCGGCTGCATCCAGAGCTCCCAGCGGGGCCGCTGAGCCCTCAGACCCTGACATCCCAGATACACTATCTCCGCTGCCCTGGACAGGCCGGCCAGCCACAGGCGTGGTTGCAGGAAGGAGGAAGAGAGCCGGAGACGGGCCGGGCTGGTCCCATTTGCTGCGTCGCCTGGGGGGAAAAAATCAAATTAAACCTTCAGATTCCCTCTGGGGCTGTTGCCTGATCTTGATCTCCTCACTCCATAAGGCTTAGCACTTGTAACACATCTCGATGGCTCAAAAACACAGCCGCGTGTGCCCTCTCAATAATCCCGGCAACAGCAGCCTTAGAAGATAAGACAATACAGTGGTACCTCAGGTTAAGTACTTAATTCGTTCCAGAGGTCCGTTCTTAACCTGAAACTACTGTTCTTAACCTGAAGCACCACTTTAGCTAATGGGGCCTCCCACTGCTGCTGTGCTGCCACCACACGATTTTTGTTCTCATCCTGAGGTAAAGTTCTTAACCCGAGGTACTATTTCTGGGTTGGCGGAGTCTGTAAGCTGAAGCGTATGTAACCTGAAGTATATGTAACCCGAGGTACCACTGTATTTGTTTAAGGTAGATTTACAGCCTCTCTGATCTCATAAGCCTGGGGTGGGGGACCTGCGGCCCACGAGGTGTTGCTGGACCACAACTCCCATCCCCGCGACCATGCTGGCTGGGGGCTGGCGGGAGTTGGTAGTCCAGCGACGTCTGGAGGGCCTCAAGGGGACCCCGGCACGGGCGAAACCCATAAACGGGCTGCTCCTCCTCCTCCTCCGCCAGGCCTCTCCCTCCCCCTCTCCCTCAACTTTCCCTTCCCGGCCTCCCCTCTCGCCCGGCCTCGCAACCGCGGCCTCCTCACCCTCCCGAGGCCCCATGTTCTCGCTGCCCCGAGCTCCCCGTTGACATGGCTCAGACGACCCTCTCCAGGCCGCCGCCGCCTTCTCCGCTCTGCTGAGAAACTTCCCCTCCCTCACGTCACTTCCGCTCCGCCGCCGCCGCAAACGTCACTTCCACTCGTTGTCGTAGCGACGGTGAAAGGTTGCTCGGGAGAGAGAGAATGCCTGGCGCCATAGCGATAGTAAAAAAGGTAGAGGGGCGCACGTGTGCTCAGGTTCCGGCCGTATACATGTAGAGCTTATTGATTTAATATTTTGATTATATTCTTGCTATTTTATAATTTCAATTATTTGCTTACTCTTTTTTTTTTGCTTATTTAATATTTAGTGTTTCATTTATTTGCTTACTGTTTTACGATGTTGTTTTTGTATTTATCGTTTTATTTATTTGCAGGCATTTCTAAACGATAATATATATTTAAAAGAAACGAAAACTCTTAAACAATAGAGACATAAGCCCAAAATCCATTGAAACGAAAACGCAGTTAATAAATTATGGAAGTGGGAACTTGTCTATAGAAGTTAATTTGTAAGAAGGGAATTCCGGGGGAAATGTCTCCTTTTGACCTTTCCTACCGTGAGCTCCAAGAGATATGAGGCAGGTAATTATTGCCAGTCATTATTCAGGGTTTATGCTGTTTCTAATCAGAGTGTTTTATTGCTCACTATGATTTGGGGTGAGTGGGTGGGTGTTAGCAAACATTCAACGTAAGTGTCTGCATGCCAGCCAGTAGAGCATAAGGCTTCCGCATGTAACTGAGCGCTGGATTGGGACCACAAAGACATCAATGTCTTTTACTTCAGTCGAAAAGGATGAGAAAGTGTCATACGTACAATCAATTAAAACAAGACAATCCCTGCCTACAGGCGAAGAAGAAGAAGAAGAAGAAGAAGAAGAAGAAGAAGAAGAAGACACACAAGCAGAAAGGGACAGGCAAGGAAGAGGGAAAAATAAAATACGGTAGTAGTAGTAATAATAATAATAATAATAATTTTTATTTATATTTATACCCTGCCCTCCCCAGCCAAGGCCGGGCTCAGAGCGGCTTAAAGGTAAAGGTAAAGGTACCCCTGCCGGTACGGGCCAGTCTTGACAGACTCTAGGGTTGTGCGCCCATCTCACTCAAGAGGCCGGGGGGGGGCAGCGCTGTCCGGAGACACTTCCGGGTCACGTGGCCAGTGTGACATTGCTGCTCTGGCGAGCCAGAGCCGCACATGGAAACGCTGTTTACCTTCCCGCTAGTAAGCGGTCCCTATTTATCTACTTGCACCCGGGGGTGCTTTCGAACTGCTAGGTTGGCAGGCGCTGGGACCGAACAACGGGAGCGCACCCCGCCGCGGGGATTCGAACCGCCGACCTTTCGATCAGCAAGCCCTAGGCGCTGAGGCTTTTACCCACAGCGCCACCCGCGTCCTTCAGAGCGGTTTACAAGCAATAATAAAAACAAGTTAAATGATTACAACTTAAAAACAAAATTAAAAAAATACAACATTAAAATATTGAAACATTAAAATATTAAAAATATTAAAAGATAGGCACCAATTCTTAAACAGCTGTTCTTATAATGATCAGCTGTCACATTTGCAGGATAGTAAGTGCCTGATGGAGATGATTTTTCAGTAGAGCTGATGGGGTGAGCCCTGCTTCCCATCTCCACGGAGGCAGTCTGCCCGCCCCTAGGTGACAATTGAGGGAGAGGAGGCCTGATTTAACCTATAATATTAGCACTGGACTACTTTGCCGGGCTGTCATAAACCACTTCCAGTAACAGTATACAGTGGGCAATATTGCAGGCTGAAATAAAGCAGGGCGATTCCAGCTGATCTTCCTTCACAGTCACCTAGCAGAAGCCATCCCACCAGATCCCGTGAACAGTTTCCAACCGCTTGGCATCTGGGGAATTCTCCTTATACATGCCCATTTCCCCCCCTTGAAACAACCATCTCCATTTACCCTCATGAAGCTCACTGTTTGACCTTGACCCAGTCATCTTCTTTCAGCCTAAATGTGCATCGCAGCCAGCATTCAAAACTCCCATTGTTCTAGGCGCATTTTGCAATGGGGGAATTTCATTAGGGCAAGCAGTTTCTGAGCATTGGGCGCAGTACTGCGCCTAAGATTTCAGATTAAAACTGCAGAGTGGAAGGAAAGGAGGACCTTTTTCTGCCTCCCCACTTCCAGCTACTCTCTGAAGACTGGAGAAGAGACCCTCTTAAGAATATTACTGGGGTGGGCAGGGGAAGGACTAGACCATGTGAAAAACGAACATAATATTTTAGCTGCAGTTCACTCATTTTCAGCTTTGTATTCTTGTTATCAAAAAAGCACACTGTTGCTGTGCCCATAACCTGGATTTAAGGTGCCATTTAGCTCCTAGCTTTCATATCTCTGGTTCTAACACTGCTGACAGGGTTGTCATATGGATAAAAAGGGGGAGAGGCAGAACCATGTGTGCCACCTCCTTTGAAGATAGATATAATAATATTTACTCCTGCATGAGGGCCCACAAAAGTTGTTTGATCAATGTCGAAAGAAGATTGGGCAAAAAAATATAAAAATAAATAAATGTGTCCATCGTGGGAAGGGATGCTTCTGTATTCATTTCCAAATCTCTTTTAAAATGCTTGCCTGTCTGTAGCTGCTGCCTGCAATCCCGAAGTCTTAGGACCAGGCTGGAGGTTGTTGCTTGTTTCCTTGTCGGTTAGGAAGCAACACTAAAATAAACTTGAGCTACGTGAAGCCAAGGAAATGACTCACATGCAGTCACATCTCCTCACACAGACACACAAACCCCTCGCTTCTGCTCTTCCTGTCCATATTCTTTATTGTGACCAGGCCAGGGAGGGTGTGTATAAGCCACAGATTGCGCAGAACTTTATGTCTGATTAATTCAAGATGAAATGAACCTCGCCTTTTTCAATCTCTATTCATGCCTCTGCCTGACAGGGCCCCCTCTGCACCATACATTATGGGTTGCCCCAGCCGCTCTGGGCAGCTTCCAACATACAGTGGTACCTCGGGTTACAGACGCTTCAGGTTACAGACTCCGCTAACCCAGAAATACCTTGGGTTAAGAACTTTGCTTCAGGATGAGAACAGAAATCGTACGGCAGTGAGAGGCCCCATTAGCTAAAGTGGTGCTTCAGGTTAATAACAGTTTCAGGTTAAGAACGGACCTCTGGAATGAATTAAGTTCTTAACCCGAGGTACCGCTGTATATAAAAATATAATAAAACATTAAATATTTTTAAAACTTCCCTACACGGGGCTGCCTTCTAAAGGTTGCAGAGCTACTTATTTCCTTGGCTCTGGGGTTGCATAAATCCATACCCTCCAAGATTTCTCTGATGAAAATAGGGACATCCTAAGGAAAAGCGGGGCATTCCAGGATCAAATCAGAAACTGGGACGGCTTTTCCCTTCTTCCTCTCTGGCATCCGAGATGACTGCTTGTACTAGTTCTTGTCAGGAGATAAGGACATGTTTTACCATTTATTACTGCATTTATACCCACCTTTCCTGCCCTCTCCATCTTATCCTCACAATAATCCTGTTCAGCAGGTTAAGGCTGGGAGTGTGTGTGAATGGCCCAAGGCCACCCAATGAGCTTTGTGGAGATTTGAACTCTTGCCCCCCAGGACCTAATCCAACAGTCTTAACAACTGGCTCTCAATGCGTTGGGGTCTCCTCCAGAGAGAAAATTCAATGAAAAGGAGATGGCAGCATTCAGCAAGCTACCAATTCTGACCCCTTTAGAGAGCCAGCATTACCTCAATGCTCTTTACTGTTGTTTCGGGGCTTTTGAAAGCAAACCACTACCTGCAGACTACCAATGCCTGTGGTCAAATTCTGTGAAACTTGACAAATGCAACCTGCCGTAAATGAACCACAGGCTTAGCAGCCGTTGGGTCATAGAAATGACTGCTCGGCGGAGGCCCTTCGACACACGGCTGCAAGCAAATTATCATTTAGTTAACAGTGTTCTTCAGCCTTCGGCTACAACTCCAATCATCCATAGCATTGGCTAAGCAAGTCTGGAGATGATGAGAGTTGTAATTCAAAGCTGTCTAGGGACCTAGAGTTGAAGAACACTAGTTCCAGCAACTTGTATTCAGGAGCATTACATAGTCATTGCAGCTAGTAGCCATTGGTAGCCTTTTCCTCCATAAAACTGTCTAATCTTCTTTAAAGCCATCCAAGTTAGTGACCATTACTACCTAAAAATAAAACAATACTCAGCCTTAATGCCTAGGAAATAACATACGATCAAGTTCTAGGAAACCTAAATTAACACTATGGTTATTGTGGACTGATCAGGAAGGCACTGCCAGAATTCAATTCGCTTCTGCATAAATAATACTACATGGCAAACTTTGCTTGCACCAGGCATTCTACCAGTGTGGTGTAGTGGTTAGAGTGCTGGATTAAGACCTAGGAGACCAGGGTTCGAATTCCCACTCAGCCATGAAGCTCACTGGGTGACCTTGGGCCAGTCACTTTCTCACAGACTAACCTACCTCACAGGTAGGTTGTGAAGGTAAAAGGGAGAGGGAGAGAAACATGTATGTCACTTTGAGCTCCTTGGAAGAAAAGGTGGGATATAAATGCAATAAAAATAAAGAAATGAACAAACTCCAACTGAAACCCACAAATAAGCACGTTGCACAATTTATGATTACTATTCCTTCAGTATTTTGTGTTGGGGCAGGAGGTGTTGGACAGCTATGTAATAAAGAAACAGAGAGAGGCAGTGAACACACTGATTTTTCATTACATTTATTTCTTTAGCATTTTCAGGGCTGCTTGCAGCAAATAATAAAATCATATATATATATATACAGCGCAATCTAGTGAAACAGACGAGGGCAGAGATAGTAGTCTCCAGCATAATCAAATCGGCAACTTTTAAAACAGGCTTAGAAGGAGGATTTTCTTGGTTGTACTGATCCTTAGGTCGTCTGCAGACTCAATATTTTGTGAGAAGGATTCAGGCACAAACTGGACAGGTAGGTAGGTTTAATTGAAGTGCAAATAAACTACTTTAAAAAAAACCACCCACCCACAGAGACAGACTTTTTGTGACATGGAAAGTGATCAGAAAGTACATTTAAAAGTGTGTGATGAACAAATGGCTAATGGGAAGATAAGTAAACACAAGCAAACCAGGAGGAGTGCACTTTGTCATATAGCCTTCCTGCAAACCAGAGGTGGTGTGCTCTGGGGTCACGGGGTTGAAGACCCTGCTACTATATCTGAAGCAAGGTCCCAGAAGAGTCCAGGAGTTGCCCAATCAGGGTGAAACGAGAGCATTTTATGCACTGAAAAGCCTTTTCACCCTTTCTGCCAAAAAGGCATACAGTAGGGCAAAGTATTCGTAAAAAAAATTATACATTTAGTGAAAATAACATACAAAAATGCATAATGTTAGGGAAAATGTGTTGCAAAAATATCTATATTAGTCAAAGCTGCATACAAAAATATGTTAGGAGAATTCTGTACTCAGATGCTGATGATTTAAAAAATAATAATCCACAAATTAGGAACAAATTAGGAACAAAGGAAATATACCAAGTCAGACCATTGGTCCATCTAGCCACAGCTGTTCAGGATTTAATACAGGAGGTATTCCCAGCTCTATGAGCCACGGCTCTTCGCCACTGTTGTGGAAATGTGGAGAAATGAAGACTGGGGAGATGAGGATCTTGGAGAACCAAAACGGACAAATTTGTTCATCTCTAACTCCCAGCCAGGAATCCTGATTGCACCTACATTGCTAAACTACTGACATTTTGACATGATTTTCCAAACAAGCTATGGACATGATATTTAAAAACAGCAGGAGAACAAAGCCATAAGTAGTATTATTTTTAAATACAGATTAATAAAAGCTGGCACTTCTTTCTTGCCCACCGTCAAGCTGCCCCGCTGTGGAAGACGTCAAATTGGCAAGCATAAGGGTTGCTAATACAACAGGCAAGATCTGTGGTAGGCTGGGGAATCTGTGGTCCGCCATGAGCAGTAGGACTCCATCTCCCATCAGCCCCAGTCAGCATGGCCAACGGTCAGGGATGATGGGAGTTGTAGTCCAGCAACATCTGCAGGGCCCTTCTTGGTCTACTGCGCCATCAAAATCACTTTAGGTGATGTGCAGGTACAGCAAAGGGTGCAGAGACAGTCCTTCTTCTGACGTCAAAATATAGTTGCGTAATTTCGGGTGTTGAGGAGGGGTCTCCACAAGGCTGTGTTCCTATCCCACCATGGTTTCTGCTTCTGCAGGGGGCTGCTCCTTCGGGTCAGTTTTGGGGCGTGTAAGAGTTTGATAAGTTGCGGACTCATGAGGGCCAAGACCCTGTAATTGAAGAGAAAGAGAGACAGGTCAAGTAAAGCAAACATGCCTAAGTTAGGCGAAACTCACACTAAAACGCATATTAAATTTCATGAGGATGGGCTGTTGTGGTGCTTTAAATGTACGGTGTGGATACCGCCTGAGTGGAGCTGGCCTTCCCACCACCAGCACCCCTACTTTTAAAGGTAAAGCTAAAGGGACCCCTGACCATTAGGTCCAGTCGTGGCTGACTCTGGGGTTGCGGCGCTCATCTCGCTTTATTGGCCGAGGGAGCCGGCGTACAGCTTCTGGGTCATGTGGCCAGCATGACTAAGCCGCTTCTGGCGAACCAGAGCAGCGCACAGAAACGCCGTTTACCTTCCTGCCAGAGTGGTACCTATTTATCTACTTGCACTTTGACGTGCTTTTGAACTGCTAGGTTGGCAACAGGAGCTCATCCTGTGGCGGGGATTCGAACCGCCGACCTTCGGATCGGCAGGTCCTAGGCTCTGTGGTTTAACCCACAGCGCCACGGGAGGCACAATTATGCCATCCCCTAATTTTTGTCATTCAAAGCTCCGAACTCCCTATCCAGGCAGATCTGAACTTAAAACTTTCTCCACAGTACAAAAAGCATATTGCTTCTTTCCTGTGGTCATTCTGTTGTTCAGTAAAACAGACTTATTAACTGATTTAAAACACACACACACACCCCTGGTTGGCAACAAGATTGACAGCAAGATTGACTACCAACTGTAGTGAAAAAACACGGCTATATTTATAACCAGCTGTCATTTATACTTGATTTTATCTGCTTTTGAAGCTTGTTCACTACTTTAAGCATTAAAAACAACAACACAGGGATAGCCAACTGGGCCTGTGAGTACAGGATGCTGGACTAGAGGGGCTTTGGCCTGATCCAACAGGTTCTGCTTATGTCTTTACAGGATTAGGCAAATTTATGGATGATTAGACTATCAGTGGCTATGGACCTCATCCAATACTGGAGGGTAGGAATGCCTCTGAATACCAGTTTCTGGGAATCACAAGGGGTGAGAGTTGCTGTTGAGCTCGGGACCCCAAACCCTCCAACATGCTGAGTCCCAAAACTGATGTGCGTCTTCCCGGCTGTCTTCCCGCATCAGATTATGGAGCCGAAAATACGTGCTTTTGGGGGGAACTGTGCTCTCACACAACAGCACCATGCAAGATCGTGGCCCACCCCAAAAGCTCTTTTTTTTCAGGGTGAGATTTCAAAATAGCCACCGTGCTCACGCTGGGGAAAAATGGGATGTTCTGGTTTTTCCGGGACACTTGCTGGGTATAGGGGTTCCCTCGGGCATCTGGTTGGCCACTGTGAGAACAGGACATTGCACTAGATGGGCCATTGGCATGATCCCACAGCCAGGCTTTTGCTTTGTTCTTATGCCTGAAACCCAGGACAGCTTCTGCCAGTCAGTGTTGGCAATAATGAGCTAGATGGAGCAGAGGTCTGGCTAAGATTGAAGGCAGCTTCCTGTGTTCCTATCCCAGCCCAGCCCCAGAAAATCGTTGGCAGACACTTACGGTATAGATTCCTTCCACTTTCTGCAAAAGAGGAAGACAGAGAATGGCATGAGATTTCCGAGGAACAGAAAGCAAAACAATATAATGCACCCCCTTCCCTTTCCCTTTCCCTTCTCTGCATCTTCACCAGTGTAAACACCAAACCTTTAAAGCTCATTCTTTCCCTCAAAGAATTCTGGGTGCTGTAGTTTACCCCTCACAGAGTTACAATTCCCAGAAACTGTTAGCAAACTACAGTGCCCAGAATTCTTTGAGGGGGGAAATATGCCTCAAATGTGCTTTAAAGGAAGAATGCCCACCCACCAACCCTGCTCTTTTTTTCAGAAGGGATGAAATAAAAGCAGAAGAAAAGACAAAAGCAAGGTTCAAGCCATGAATGTGTTAAATCTCTGTTTGGAGCAGCGAGGGTGCAAAAGCCACAATAACTTCTTTAAACAAATCACAGTCTTCTTTGTCTACCCCCCTCATTTTTCTATGGTGCACGGGAATGACTCTTATGTCTTTAGCAGGCAGCGACACAACAGGTGCTGTTGTCCCCATTGCTCCATTCCTGTGCTAAGAAAAACACCTCCAGGTGAATTTCTGCCTACAGTTTCATTAACAGGCCCTCTTTAATAAACACCAGGAAGTGGAGTTTGGTACGGGTGCTGAGAATGGTTGGGAGACCAAGTCTGTCTGCTTCCAGCCTATCAGCCAATCTTTAGCCTGACATGCTGCAAATGCCATATAAATGCTAAATATTATTTAAGTGAAAGGAGCAAGGAGGCACCTCGTAGTCGGAAGCAGGGGGAAGCTTCGATTTCCTTCGGTATTGGATCTAAGGAGATAAAACATATAAACAGAGTCAAATAAATCATTTATAAACTTAAAGTAACAACAGACATTAACTCCACACAGCAAACGTCACTCTCGTTTCTTTTTAATCCCTCTGAGTGTCACAGAAAGGCCATTCACCAACTATGGAGCAACTTGTGGAGAGACAGCCTGCAGATTAACAAACTGAAGGACATCGTCCTCTTTCTATGCTCCTTCTGATGGAAACATGCACATGGGGACAGAAATACCCCTGCTTTAAGTCGTTTGCATACGGTCTTCTCTTGTATATTATTTACTTCAAAGCTCGACGACTAAGCTCTTTCGCGACGAAACGTCTGATAACCGGAACGACGTCTGAGCACTGAACCAACTGATATATCACAGGTGGACTCTATTTCCTGCGTTTGCAGTTGTGTGAGATAAAACCTATTTGAGAAAGAAACTACCCTTGCCATTTTTAGGGGCGTCCATATTTAGGGACGTTTTTGTTTGTTCACAAATAGTTGCCTTGGTGATATTATCTTGTGTCGATTGCAGTGGTTTGAGTGGAAGATTTAAGCTGCAGAGACCCAGGTTCAAATGCCCACTCAAGCTATGAAGTTTGAGGGTGACTTTGAACTCATTCTCATTCACTCATTCTCACACACACATGCGCACTCATGCCTCATCTGCACTGTTCATTTAAAGTCAGTATCCGATCACTTTAAACAGTCATGGCTTCCCCCAGAGAATCCTGGGAACTATAGTTTATCAAAGCTGTTGAGGGTTGTTAGGAGAACCTCACTTCCACTCACAGAGCTATAATTCCCAAAGTGGTTTAGCAATCAATCCCTCCTCACAGGGAACTCTGGGAATTGTAGCTCTGTGGGTGAATGTGGGTGTGTGGGTGTGTGTACTGTAACAACTATAAGCTCCCTTAGCAAACAACATTTTCCCAGGATTCTCTGGGGGAAGCCATGACAGTTTAAAGGGCTTCTTTCAATGTCTGGAGCAGATGTCGCCAAAGTATGGTGTATCTCACAGGGTTCTAGTGAGAATAAAACAGGAAGGAAGGAAAAACAATGTACAGTGGTACCTCGGGTTACAGACGCTTCAGGTTACATACGCTTCAGGTTACAGACTCCGCTAACCCAGAAATAGTGCCTCGGGTTAAGAACTTTGCTTCAGGATGAGAACAGAAATCGAGCTTCGGCAGCGCGGCAGCAGCAGGAGGCCCCATTAGCTAAAGTGGTGCTTTAGGTTAAGAACAGCTTCAGGTTAAGAACGGACCTCCAGAACGAATTAAGTACTTAACCTGAGGTACCACTGTATGCTGCTCTAGCTCCACCAAGGAAGGGTGGGATTTATTATTATTATTATTATTATTACTATTATCATCATCATCATTATTAAGGTAAATAAATACAGCCAGTTAGGCAACATTTAAATGGCAGCAACTCTTTAAATTATCTGTTCATGAAGCAGTATTCATTTACTTAGATATTCTGCACATCAGGTCCCTGCCCTCCAGGAGCTTACAATCCACATTTTTTTCCAGTGGGAAGAGACCGAGGCTGCATCCATACAGTACAGTTAAAGTAGTATCATACCATTTTAAACCACACTGATTCAAGTGGTATGGTACTCTTTTAAATGTATAGTACACATAGGGACCAGATAACCCCAAGAGGGGAGAGCAGGATGAGGCCTTGAAGAGGCCCAGCAACAAGTCAGCAGTTGGATAGCAGACTAAGCAGGCAGAAAGCACAACTCCCAATGATACAGTGTCTCCCCCCCCCTATTTAAATCACAGTATTATTATGTTTAATTGCATTATGCCTATGTTAGCATATACAAATTGAATGGAAATCGCTGCCTTCTTTTTCAGTGACGCACAGGAGAGGATCTTTTGTGGCACATTCATTCATTTGTGAATACAGTAAATACATAAATGAACTTCTCCCTGCAAAAAACCCCACTTCTGTGACAAATTTCCTTCAGTTAACTGATGCGTACGTCATTTAGCTTTTAGGTCACCTGTCCCTTGCATTAAGATCAAGACATATGCATCTCAGAGAGCCATTAAAAGACTCACCTTCAGCCGGCAGTACAGGAATGTGAGGATTATACCATAGACAAACAGGATCCCATCCAAGACGTAGCACAACTGAGGTTCCCTCAGCGCCTCTGCAGGGAAACAAGGTGCATTGTGTGACTTCTTCAAAACTGCGCCACCAGCCTGCGCATACTGGATATGTTCCCTTCTGGATCAGGCCAAAGGCCCATCTAGGCCCCATTCACACCTTACATTTAAAGCAGAATCATACCCCTTTAAAAAGTCATGGTTTTCCTCAAAGGATTCTGGGAGCTATGGTTTGTTGAGGGTGCAGAGAGTTGTTTTGCTTTAAATAATGTTATAATTTGTATGTATTTGTTTCTTAATTTAATCCTTTTACATCGTTTTGTATGATTTGTGGCATTTTATGTATTGTGATTTGCTGCTATTTTTATGGATTATAGATGAGTAATTATTTATTGTAATAAGTGTAAACTGTCTAATTATTGCTGATGTTTAACTTTAGTGTGGGGTGGAAGCCACCCAGAGTGGCTGGGGCAACTCACCCAGATGAGTGAGGTATGAATAAAATTATTATTATTATTATTATTATTATTATTATTATTATTATTATTATTAGTGCTTTTTTCCTTTAAAAATATTTAGGGGTACTCTCATTTTCCTACTCATATTGAAATACTGCCCCTCAATGAGAAAGATATTAAGCGCGTAAGTAAATTTTATGAGAAACTTGTTTTGGAAAACTGTTACAATGATATATACTGAAATTCAGCCAGGGGGATATGAGGAAGTCACTTAACAATGTTACTAAGAGTGGACTAAGTATAGTTAGGATTTATGTTTGTTTGTGTGTTTATAAAAATTGGAAAATCAATAAAAAAATTGAAAAATATATATGAAATACTGCCCCTCAATGAGGCCAAACTTAGATTCACAAAATGTTTAGGGGTATGCTGGACCATAAAGAAGGCTGATCGCCGAAGAATTGATGCTTTTGAATTATGCTGCTGGAGGAGACTCTTGAGAGTCCCATGGACTGCAAGAAGATCAAACGCATCCATTCTTAAGGAAATCAGCCCTGAGTGCTCACTGGAAGGACAGATTGTGAAGCTGAGGCTCCAAGACTTTGGCCACCTCATGAGAAGAGAAGACTCCCTGGAGAAGACACTGATGCTGGGAAAGATGGAGGGCACAAGGAGAAGGGGGCGACAGAGGACGAGATGGTTGGATAGTGTTTTCGAGGTTACCAGCATGAGTTTGACCAAACTCTGGGAGGTAGTGGAGGACAGAGGTGCCTGGCGTGCTCTGATCCCATGGGTCACGAAGAGTCGGACACGACTAAACGACTAAACAACAACAAATGCGTACCCCTGCATCCCCCCAGAAAAAAAGCACTGATACAATAATAATAGGAAAGCCCCTATTCCCCTCACAGCTCTCATACCCTCCAACGTTTCTCCAATGAAAATAGGGACACCCTAGTCTATACCGCTCCAAAGTTTCTCTGATGAAAATAGGTAAAGGTAAAGGTACCCCTGCCATTACGGGGCCAGTCTTGACAGACTTCTAGGGTTGTGTGCCCATCTCACTTAAGAGGCCGGGGGCCAGCCGCTGTCCGCAGACACTTCCGGGTCAACGTGGCCAGCGTGAACAAAGCTGCATCCTGGCGCAGCCAGAGCCGCACCAACGGAAACCTGTTTACCTTCCCGCCAGTAAGCGGTCCCTAATTCATTCTACCTTGCACCTGGGGGTGCTTTCGAACTGCTAGGTTGGCAGGCGATGGGACCGAGCAACGGGAGCGCACCCCGCCGCGGGGATTCGAACCGCCGACCTTTCGATCGGCAAGCCCTAGGCGCTGAGGCTTTAACCCACAGCGCCACCCGCGTCCCATTTGATGAAAATAGGGATGTCCTAATAAAATTTCTCTGGTAGCATGAATAGTAGAATTATAGAATCATAGATCTATAGAAAGGATCTTGAGGGTCACCCTTGCGATAGAGGAATACACAGGTGGCACATCAGGGGATCAAACCCATGAGCTTTGCATTTAGCAGCACCATGCTCCAAGCCAACTGAGCTAACTGCCACCCTTGGTGAAACTCACAGGAAAACAGCCCCTGTTATGTACTGAAGTTCTCACCCTGGGCCAGCAGGGGGATACTGTAGATAGTTATGCAAATAAGGGATCGAAAGTGGCGTTCAGTGATTGGATAGTTTTAGAAAATTCTTACAGTTACATTGTACTAGAGCTCTATATAAGCAGGCTGACTGAGCCCTTCAGTTCTGTCCCGGCCTGTGAATAAACAAGAGCTCTTTGAAGAATCGCTGTGTCATCTGGTATGTTCACCCACAACTTAACAGCCCCAAATCTTACACTGGACACTTGGTGCCCCTCACTCTGGAATATAGCTATAATGGAGAAAATCAAATTTGAGATTTCAACAAGGGCTAGGACCTCCAGACGCTTTTTATATGATTTGGCATTCCTTTATTACATTATACTACAGAGCCTTTATTTTCAGGACAACCAGTGCTATTTTTATAGAAAAGGAGATGCCAGAACTCACCCCTAGCACCTCCCTTGTTCTCTTATAATGGCAATGGCTTATATTGAGAGGTGCCAGAACTGAGTTCCGGTGAGTTCAAGCTGGAAAAAAAAGCCCCGACAAAACCATATCGTCACAAGCCTGGTAAATCTGGAACTATACTTGTTGGCAGCATTTTTCCCCCTAACTTTTTTCTTTCATGACATGGTCTATGTGACTTGGGCTGGATCTACACACAGGGTGGGAAACACTATAAATAAGTCAGAAATTGAATCGTTATAACAAAAGAAAAGAAAAACGCTACGGAAAATTGCACAGAATTCTTTTTGCTCTCTAGCGTCATCTGGTGTTGCACGTTTATAAGGCATTCAAAATGCTGTTTTTTGACTAGGTGAGTACAGTGGTACCTTGGTTCTCAAACGCCTTGGTACTCAAACAACTTGGAACCCAAACACTGCAAACCTGGAAGTAAGTGTTCTCGTTTGCAAACTTCTTTCGGAGGCCGAACGTGCTCCGTTTTGAGTGTCACGCTTCCGATTTGAGTGCCACACTTCCATTTGAGTGTTACACTGAGGTCTGTCTGTTTTTGCGATTTATTTTGCATTTTTGTTTTTGTGGCTTTTTTGTTTTGTTTCTGTGACTGCGTGGAACCCAGTTTAGCCACTGATCGATTGATTGTGTGACTGCAGTACATTGTTTATTGCTTTTATTTTATGGATCAGTGGTCTCGTTAGATAGTAAAATTCATGTTAAATTGCTGCTTTAGGGGTTGTTTTTAAAAGTCTGGAACGGATTAACCCGTTTTGCATTACTTCCTATGGGAAAGCGCGCCTTGGTTTTGGAACGCTTTGGTTTTGGAACGGACTTCCGGAACGGATTAAGTTTGAGAACCAAGGTACCCCTGTACTTGTACACAGGACCAAGTTTTTAAAGTCTATTAGTATAATGTGTGTGTGCAATGACAAGCCTGTTTCTGTAAGTATTTGTTCCAGGGACCCAAAGAAGGGATAAAGAGCTGAGCACATAAATTAGCTGCTATCGCCTTTTTGTGGTGATGAAAAAGCATCAGATTAGCAAACACTTCGCTAAACCACAGGTAGCAGTAGCAGCAGATCTCATACCACTGATAGGACACAAATGTAAAGTGTGGAGGGCGGGGCGGGGGGGGAGAGCAGAGAGGCTACGCAGCTCCTGTGATCTGAGACCACCAACACTATACTGGGCAATGTGTACGCACGGGATATCTATTTTGGATGCCTCTGCTAGAGATGTGGGCAAGCCGCCCTGTCTTTTCCGGAACAGGTTTTGGACAGCACACAAGATGGTGATTTTTTAGAAGCTTCAGAAATAACTGTATTAAGACAAGGCTGGATTAAGACCGTTAGAGAACCAAAGCACTGAAAATATTATGATGGGCCGCCCATACGTAATTCAAAATAAAAACAATACGGAATTGTATTTTTTCAAATGATACTTTACTTACATGCATGCTGAAAATAAAATAGATTGTTTCTAGATTTTCCAATTGCAAAATTCAGCGCTTTCCCCCCTTAATTAAATGTTGAATTCTTTATTTTTTAAAAAAATCTCTTTGTTTGCATGCCCCTGCTTGCTGGTGTCCTAAGCACTTGCTTAGTCTGCTTTTGCAGCACTGTATTAAGCCTATAAATGGTGAAAGCTGAACGGTATCTCATTGAATTATGGGTACAGCAGAATTTGGACAATTTCATTGTCAGAAAAATGAACTGATGTGACTAAAAAGGTTCAGGGAAGGTCAGACAAGGATCCTTTCCGTACTGATTGCTTACCTTTTATTCAATATATTAATAGTTCTAATAAAGCAGGGAAACCACTTCACGCACATGGCCAGCTCTGGAGAGATGATAATTTCAGTATTTGGCCCTCACAGTTTTTGCCTTGTGTTATTTACATTCTTTGAAAATCTTTGGGATATTTTGGATTCCATACTTGTATTTTCTGTTCTGTTTATGTGGATTCTGTTCTCGGTTCTTATTGGTTACATAAAATTAAATAAAAATACATTTGAAAATAAATAAATAATTGCATTTCTTCGGACAAGAGGTGGGGGTGGGAATTGACTTCAGCTTGCATTTCAGACTTACCAGATTTGCTCCTTCTGAAACAATACACAAGTCGAAACACAACCACCATGTGAAATTTGCATTCATCAAATTTTTGAAATGCAGTTCTCCAGACAAGTGATGTGTACAAAAAATGCACAGATGGGGGTCCATGTGTTGAGATTCCTGCATGGCAGAGGGTATGTCTAGATGGCCCTCGAGGTCCCTTCCAGCTCCACAATTCTACGTTTCTATTACTAGGGTAAATTGTGTGTCTAAAATGCATGTGTTACTAAAAGCAACTTACAAAAATGCATTGCATATGGGGAAGTGGCTTTGCAAAAACGTGTATGTAGGCAAAAAGGCACACAAAAATACATACATGAGGGCAATGCACTTAAATATACAGTGGTACCTTGGGTTAAGAACTTAATTCGTTCTGGAGGTCTGTTCTTAACCTGAAACTGTTCTTAACCTGAAGCACCACTTTGGCTAATGGGGCCTCCTGCTGCTGCTGCTGCGCGATTTCTGTTCTCATCCTGAAGCAAAGTTCTTAACCCGAGATACTATTTCTGGGTTAGCGGAGTCTGTAACCTGAAGCGTATGTAACCTGAGGTACCACTGTAGATATATATATTCACAAGCTGATGGAGAACTGAAGACTGGGAAAAGGAGAAACTCAGTGAAACCTAAATTGCATAGCTGTCAAGTGTCCCTTATTTGGCGGGACAGTCCCTTATCCCAGTGCCATGTCCCGCTGCTGTCCCTTATTGATGAGGCTTCATTTGGCTGCTGGCTGGGCTTTCTGCCTTTGGCTCGGAGGGGCTCAGAAGTTGAACATACCTGTGCCCGGGAAATCCCTTCTTTTGGCTGCAGATCCCTTATTTTCGAGGCTGCTGGTCCCTTATTTTCAAATCTGTAAGTTGACAGCTATGCTAAATTGACACAATTGCGCATCCCTGTTGTGGAAGCTGCTCTATGCTCTTGCTGAGCTCTTGCTGAGCATTGTCTACATGTGCTGTTTGGCAGCTGTTCTCCGGGGTCCTGCCTTTCCTAATCCTACCTGGAGACAGTGCCAGGGATTGATGCTGGGCCCTTTTGTACACAAAGCACATGATCTATGGCTGAGCTACAATATTACAGACTGTGCCTTAGCCTGGTGCTGCACAGGGAGCTATCTTCTACAGAGCCAGACCACTGACCCACCAAGCTCAGTATTGTCTACACTGACTGGCAGCAGCTCTTGAGGGTTTTCAGACAGGCGTTTCCCCCTATCCTAGCTGGAGATGTTGGGGATTAAATCTGGGACCTTCCACCTGCAACACAAATATTCTACCACTTGGCCACATCCCCTTGATCCTGCCGTGAGCACAGTGGAACAAAATCCGAAAGCCGCAGAGAGGCAGGAGCAGACAAGGGGTGGGGTGCCCCTTTTAAGAATCGAAACTCCTGCCTGTCATCTGGTTTGAGCAGACGATGGTTGTGCCCGATGGTGACCCTTGTTAAGGGAATCAGTTTTGCTTTCCTAGAAGAGACCCATGTTCTCCTTTCAGGTTTAGAGGCTGTACGTCAGGGCTGGCAGCCTAAGGCCCGGGGACTGGATGCGGCCCAATCACCATCTCAAAACTTAGCCTTTCAGAGGCACCCCTCCCAAAATAAACCTCCCTCTTTTTGTGGATGGCAGAAACAGATCCTTTATCTTAGCACAACGATGCTATCTAGCAATTGACTAGATAGACTACAAAAGGAGTAAACTGGCTGGCACAACATTAGTTTTCATTAAGCAGGGCCAAACTTGTAGTGTTAGTGAACGTGTGCCGTCATCTCTGCAATCCTATACATGGGGTTCTGGCCAATGCTAGCTACTCAGAGTAGACCCATGGAGAGATTAATTGACATGGCTAATTTAGGTTCGTTAATTTCCATATGCCCACCTTGAGTAGAAATGAGTTGGGTGTATCTAATTTTACTCAGACGTGTGTGCCACTGAGTTCAGTCACGATTACTATGCCCTCCAACATTTCTCCAATGAAAACAGGGACGTCCCATTCCATAATGGTAATTTAACCATATATGCTCCCCACATCTTATTGGGTTGCCCCAGCCACTCTGTGCAGCTTCCAACATATATAAAAAACTTAATAAGGCATTAAACATTTTCTGTGCAGCTTCCAACATATATAAAAAACTTAATAAGGCATTAAACATTTAAAAAACTTCCCTATGCAGGATTGCCTTCAGACGGCTCGGGGGTCAGATAACTCCATACCCTCCAACATTTCTTCAGTGAAAATAGGGACATCCTAAGGAAAAGTGACACATTCTGGGATCAAATCAGAAACTGAGACAGCTTCTCCAAATCAGGGACGTCCCTGGAAAATAGGGACATGTGGAGGGTCTGGTTTACACTCATGTAAGTGGATATGCAGGACTGCAGCCTCACAGATTAAAGAATTCTTAAGTGGATCAGTATCCCCTTTTTTAATTGGTCAAAATATAAACAGTAGCATGTTACTAAAAATTCAATACAAATGCCTTTCCACATACCATTTAAGGTACAAATTTAGCACTTCCACTAAGAAAGGCCATATTTAAGGGATATCCCCCCCCCAATCCCTGACCCTGATGTGAGGGGCAACAGCAACCAAGCGTGGTCTTACAGTCCCACCACATAAAACTGACCCTATTGCTTGATCAAATGAAACTTTAGTTGATTAATCTACCAAGTCAAGCTTGCAACCCAGCTGTAAAGCAGAATCAGCATTTTTGGCAGGGGGGTACTAGTTATAATGGAGGCCTAGCAGTTTGCGGGGGGGGGGGGGGAGATTCAAACATCCTACCCCACCCCCATCAACCACTTTCTCTCTCAGCCTAAACTACCTCACTGGGTTGTTGTGAAAATAGAACAGAGGAGGGCCATTTTTTCTGCCACCCTGAACTTCTGAGGTAGGGAATGTAATCAAATACAAGTTGTTGTAAACACACAGTGGGTTTAAAGTGAGGCAAACTTAGTGGTAGCTATTGTTGTTGCAATTTACTACTACGTACTACTATTATTGTTGTTATTATTATTTTCAAATTAATATACTTATATCCCTCCTTTCTCCTGGAGAAACGTATAAACATTTAAAAACATATACGTAGAATACAAAGCAATAAAGACAAACGAGTTAAAAGCAATAATCAGAACACAATTCTGATGTATTTTAGAGGTCCGGCAATTAAAGTCCAGTTTGCCCTGACAAAGAGACCCAGCGATCAGCACTCTCTTCCCCGTCATTTTCAAAAGCCTGTCCGAACAGGGCGCACTGAACCTGCCGGCAGATGGATAACAAGGAGGGATCCGGTCTGACCTCTATTGGGAGGGAATTCCGCAAGATGGGAGCAGCCACAGAAAAGGCTCTCCCTCCTGCCACCATCTCCCAGGCCTCTGAAGTCTCTAGGAGTGAGGGAAGGCGCTGATTTCTCAAACCTACAATCTCCGTTCACTTCTCTTTTCGTGCGGAAAGGCTGCAGATGAGCAAAAGGCCATTTCTCCCAGCCCACCCGCTTTACCTGCTTCCTCCGCTGCCAGGAGAACCAGGAGGGCTGTCAAAATATACACCTTCATTCTGGAGAGGGGAGAGGGACCAGGTCCAGTCGAGTGGCAGAGCTTCCCTCCCCAACGGGCAAGGTCAAGGGAGACACAAGGCGAGAGCGACTGGCTGAATCCGGCTTGCCTACGCCTTCCTCCCAAGACAGGAGTGTCCAGCGTCTGAGCTGAGCTTCTGCTCTGCAGCGCTCAAGTCTTCAGCAGGACTGCCCACCAACCACAGAACACATGCTTTCCTGCTTTTGAGGCCGTAAACTTCTCGCTTCATGATAGCCGATCGTCGGGCTCAGCCTGAAGTTCCCCTTTCTCCAGTTCAGGAACTGAGAAGCATGCAGTCCAGGGAGGAGGAGAAGAAGAAGGGATTATTATTATTATTATTATTATTATTATTATTACTGCCCATCATCTGTAGATCTCAGGATGGTTCCCCAACATAATTGCCACTCCCCGAGTATCTAAGGAAAATCGGCTAAGCCCAAATGCACCCATACTGATATCGGAATTGCAAATGGTCAACCATCCTGTTTTAAGCAGGACATCCCAGAATTACAGAAACCATTCCTGCTTCTGATTGGATCCCGGAATGTCCAATTTTTGGCCTGTCACTCTGGTGCAAGTCTGGTGCAAGATCCTATTTAATAATATACACTGTCCCTTTGACTGGGTTGCCCCAGCCACTCTGGGCTGCTTCCAACCTATATAAAAACATTTTTTAAAAAACAGGTAAAGGACCCCTGACAGTAAAGTCCAGTCGCGAACGACTCTGGGGTTGCGGCACTCAGCTCACTTTACTGGCCGAGGGAGCCGGCGTACAGCTTCCGGGTCATGTGGTCAGCATGACTAAGGCGCTTCTGGAGAAACCAGAGCAACGCATGGAAACGCCGTTTACCTTCCCGCCAGAGCAGTACCTATTTATCTACTTGCACGGGCGTGCTTTCGAACTGCTAGGTTGGCAGGAGCTGGGACTGAACAACGGGACTGAACAATGTCACGGGGATTTGAACCGCCAACCTTCCGATCATCAAGCCCAAGGCTCAGTGGTTTACACCACAGCGCCACCCACGTCCCATATAAAAACATAATAGAGCATTAAACATCAAATAACCTCCCTATACAGGGCTGCCTTCAGATGTCTTCTAAAGGTTGTATAGTTACTTATCCCCTTGGCTTGGGGGTTGTATAACTCCAACCCTGCAACATTTATCTGGTGAAAATAGGGATGTCCTAAGTAGAAGTGGTCAGGGGTCCCTTTACCTTTTACCTTTTTAAGTAGAAGTGGGACGTTCTGGGATCAAGTCAGAAACTGGGACGGCTTCTGTAAATCCCTGGAAAATAGGAACACTTGGAGGGTGTGCATTTAAAACACGATAACACCACTTTAAACAGTCGTGGATCTCCCACATGAATCGTGGGAGCTGACATTGGTAAATGTGCTGAAAGTTGCTAGGGGAACCCCTATTTCTCTCACAGAGCCAGTGGCGTAGCGTGGGGGGTGCAGGGGGGGCCGGCCGCACCGGGCGCAACATCTGGGGTTAGGGCAAATCCACGGGTTAGGGGGCGCAAATCCACAGGTTAGGGGGCGCAAATCCACGGGTTAGGGGGCGCAAATTGCTTGCCTTGCCCCGGGTGCTGACAACCCACGCTACGCCGCTGCACAGAGCTAATTCCCCAGTGTTTCATGGGGAAAGGGATTGAATGTTAAGCCAATCTGTGAATTCTACAGACCCAGCGTTTTTTGGCCTACTTCTGAGTAAGCCATCCCTGACACTCTTTCAGTGTATAAGGCTTCGCCTCTTGAGCTTTCCCAACACAGGTCTCAGTGCTTTAGCTTGGTTTGTTGAGACTACACTACACCTTGAACTCTGATTTCGGGAAAGTGTTTTGGTAAAAGTCTTTACCCTCCTTGAACTGAGGCCTTCACACCTGAGAGCATTCCCCCTCCTCCAGGGCATGTGACCATATTTTGAGTGCTGTACCAAAACGTTTCATAGACAGTTAACTGCATTTTAGACTGTAGGCTCCTCAGGGCAGAGATCCGTTACTCTGAAGGCTCTATATGCCAGCTTCTCCTGAACCTGGTGCCCTCAAGATGTTTTGAACTACAGCTCCCATGAGTCTCCATCAGCACTGCTGGCTGTAGTCCAACATATCTGGAGGGTATAAAACAAATAAATTACACCCTTGAGGACAGGCTCCGTTGTGTCTATTCACTGTCTTTGTTTCCTAAAAAAAATTAATAGCTTTAATGCATTTTCCAGGCTGTTCAAAGAAGATGGCAACAGCTCACATCTCAACTGAGCAATTCATTTACTTGAGAGTTCCCTACATTTTAAAAAAAGGATAACAGGCGGCGCCAGTAAATGGATGCTTTAAACCCAGAAAGATACAGAGTGGGGAAAAAACAGTTGCAAAAGTGCTTCTCTCTTGCTTGCTTGCTTGTCTTTCCCTTCCGCTACAAAAACAGCCTCAATGTGTGTGTGTGGGGGGGGGGAGTGAAATCAGATATTGGTATCTGATTTATCACATTCAGCATCTGGAAATTTTGAAATTGCCTATTTTTGAGAGTTTCCATCCAAGGCAAGCAGCAGAGGAAAACAATTTACTCTTGCTTTCCTTTGGACGCTTGCCTGCCTGCCTTCAAATTAGGCCCACAGTGTAACGCTCAGAGACTGATTGCACGGTACCCACAGAAGCCACAAATCCTCCAATATAGGCACACGCTTCAGCTGGCCTCAGCCAACCAAAGCAAAACAATTTTCTTCTTCTTTTTGGAAGATGTGCCGCAGACTAAGGGTGGCAAAGGTCTCTTGATGCCTAGTGCTGATCCTGTATCAGGTGCCGAATAATGCTCCTTTCACACTTCTTTTTAAAAAAACCACAGTAACCTTTGGAACTCCCTGCCTCTTGATTTTAGGCAGGGGCCTCTGCTGTACTCTTTCCAGTGCCTGCATAAAACACCATTGTTTGGGCAAGACTATCCAGAGATGTTAGGCTGCTGCCATGTGTTTTGTTCTCTTTTATCTTACTGTTGATTTGAATTGTATTTTCAGCCTTCTTAAGTACTTGCTTTTAACTGTATTTTATTGATATTACCGTATTTTTGTTTGTTGGAGGTTTCATTGCAATCAAGCATTATGTAAGTTTTGCTACATAAATGAAATTCGGAACTTGGCAAAATCTGGGCAGTGGGGTGGGGCAGAGAGTAAAGGCTGTAGAATGAACATAAGCACTCTTTTTACGTTTTGCATTCAGACATAATAATAATAAATAATAATAATTTTTATTTATATCCCGCCCTCCCCAGCCGAAGCTGGGCTCAGGGCGGCTAACAACAATCAAAATAGTCCAACATTCTAAAAACATTCATTATAAAATTAATTAAATCAAATTAAAATCAAATTAATGGCAACCATCAAGCAAAATTCTGTGCAGATTGCCAGAGGAGGGGGTCAGGCTGCGCCCTGACCAAAGGCCTGGTGGAACAGCTCTGTCTTGCATAATTATGGTCATAGGATTATGTCTGAATCTATGCCATCTTTGGCAGGGGGGCGATTTCTGAGAGGCTGTGAAACGAGGCTCTCCCACCTGAGTTGCAAACCACAAGTCCATTACTGCTTCAGGTGTCAGGATTGTACCTTATATGTGTATGCGTGAGAGTGACTCCTTGCATGTGGGTTGCAAGACTGTTGAGTGTGAGCAGTTTATGTATGAATGGTTGACGCACGACTTCAAGCAATGGTCATAGAGGTTGCAGGAAATGGATGGCGAGATTGGATAAATTATTGAAATTTTATATTATACTGCCCTGTTGTGGTCTCTGGTTTTATGTTATGTTTATGGATATTTTTGTATTTTGCTATGTGAACCATTTGACGCGATTTTACTGAACTTACCATCTTGATTTTGCGTATTTGCCTACTGTAAACTGCTTCAAGATGTTTCAAGGCAGTATGACATAGTGGTTATAGTGTTGGACTAGGAGCTGGGTGACCAGGCTTTGAGTCTTTACTCTGCCATGAGACTCACTGGGTGACCTTGAGCCAAGAAACTCAGCCCAGCCTACCGTGCAAGGTTGTTGTGCGGGATTAAACGGGGAAGGGAAGAACCACGTATGCAACCTTGAGAAAAAGGGAGGGATAGAAATACAGTGGTACCTTGGTCTACGAACAGTCTAGTTCACGAACTATTTGGAACACAAACACTTCAAAACCGGAAGAAGGTGTTCTGGTTAACAAACTTTTTTTTGGAATCCGAATGTACTCTGTTTGGGGGTGCACTTCTGTTTTGAGTGCCACACTTCTGTTGTCTGGCAGTGGAGAAGGGGGGTGTTTCCTGCAGCTGTGCGGGAGGGAAGCTGAGTGCCTGCCGGCCAGCTGGTTTGCAGGAGCGCAACCCCCCCCCATGCTGCTCAGGAGGCAGGCGCTCTAGGGAGCATTTCCCGCAGCAGCGTGGGGGGGGATCTGTGTGGATCCCAGTTCAGCTACTTATTGATTGATTGATTGATTGATTGATTGATTGTGTGACTGCGGAAATGGATAAAAGCCCCCCCCATCAAAACAATGACTATCATCAGTGCAGGTAAGAAATTTTTTTGATTTTCATTTTTATCATCTACAATACTGTTTCATTTATTTTATAGTACAGTACATTGATTATTGCTGACACGGGTGGCACTGTGGTCTAAACCACTGAGTCTAGGACCTGCCGATCCGAAGGTTGGCGGTTTGAATCCCTGTGATGGGGTGAGCTCCTGTTGCTCGGTCCCTGCTCCTGCCAACCTAGCAGTTCAAAAGCATGTCAAAGTGCAAGTAGATAAATAGGTACCGCTCTGGCAGGAAGGTAAACGGCGTTTCCGTGCGCTGCTCTGGTTCGCCAGAAGCGGCTTAGTCATGCTGGGCACATGACCTGGAAGCTGTACGCCGGCTCCCTCGGCCAATAAAGCGAGATGAGCACCGCAACCCCAGAGTCGGTCACGACTGGACCTAATGGTCAGGGGTCCCTTTACCTTTATGGATCAATGGTCCCCTTAGGTAGTAAAATTCATGTTAAATTGCTGATTTAGTGGTTGTTTTTAAAAGTCTGGAACGGATTAACCCATTTTGCATTACTTTCTATGGGAAAGCGCACCTTTGGTTTAAGAATAGACTTCTGGAACGGATTAAGTTCGTAAACCAAGGTACCACTGTTTATGAATTTTTCTGACAGGAAGTCGCACAGAAATGGAAATAATGAAGAAATAAACATGGCCAATTAAGGATTCATCCTGGGCCAAATTAGGCCCAGGTGCTGCAGGCTGGCTCCCAACCACTGTTTGTTCTC